CGACCCCGATTTTTTTTCTTCTTTTGCTTTGATTTTTTTTGGGCATCATCATCATCATCATCATCAATAACACATTGAATTGATACACACACACAAATACACACACATATAGAAATCATAAAATTAAATGCTGCATCGTACAACGACATTCGAATGCATGCCAAGGCAACAACAACAACATTATTATTAATGGCCATGAAAATAATGTTTCATCAGACATTAATAATAATTTTCCAATCAATTGGAATTGCGACATTGATATCTGGTGGGAATTGGCCATACAAAATATGTCTGAACGTTGTGAACCAGTTTGGATCGATTCTGAAGATGATCTATTCATTTTATATACAAGGTAAATTTTTTTTGTTTGTTATTTTTTTACTTTTTCATTTTTTTTTGTATCAATTTTTTCTTGAATACACACACACACACATTTGTTATAAATTTTTCATTTCAGTGGAAGTACTGGAAAACCAAAAGGCGTATTGCATACATTAGGCGGCTATATGGTTTATGCGGCAACAACATTTAAATATGTATTCAATTATACACCAGATGATGTATTCTTTTGTACTGCTGATCTTGGATGGATTACTGGCCATACGGTTAATGTTTATGGTTCATTATCAAATGCAGCAACAATTGTTTTATTTGAAGGAACACCATTCTATCCACATCCAGGAAGATTATGGGAAATTATTGATAAATTACAAGTTAGCATATTCTATACAGCACCAACAGCTATAAGATCATTAATGAAATATGGTGATGAATTGGTTAAAAAATATAAACTTGATTCATTAAAATTATTGGGCACAGCTGGTGAACCAATTAATGAAGAAGCATGGTGTTGGTATTATCAAGTTGTTGGTAAACGTCGTTGTCCAATTGTCGATACATTTTGGCAAACTGAAACGGTATGTATACATTACAACAATAACAAAAAATTTGATTGATTCATTGATTGATTATCGTCTTAATCTTTTTTTACCATTTTAAAAAAAAGGCTGCACCAATGTTAACACCATTGCCTGGTTGTACACCGACAAAACCTGGATCGGCAACATTACCATTTTTTGGTGTCGTACCAGCCATTGTTGATTATAATGGCAAAGAAATAGAAGGAACAGGAAATGGAATTTTAGTGATTAAAAAACCTTGGCCAAGTATAGCACGTACTGTTGTTGGTAATCATGAACGTTATGAGATGACATATTTCCATAAATTTAAAGGATATTTCAGTACTGGTGATGGTAAGTTTTTTCTTTTTTTTTCTCACATTTTTTTTCTTGTTTGATTATGGAAGTAAAAATAAAGTGCAAAGTGCATCCAAGATGAAATTTTTTTTTTTTTTTTTTTTTTGTTCCATAATTGAAATTCAATTTCTAATTATAAACTTTTTAATTTTTTATTTTTGTCTTGCTTCCGTTTTTTTCTTTCACCATTCCCTTTATCTTTTTTTTCCCCTGTTTCTTTTCCCGTTCATAACCAATTTTATCATCATTATAATTATCCCGTTGACACATCATTAGGCTGTTATCGTGATCATGATGGTTATTATTGGATCACTGGACGTTCCGATGACATGTTAAATGTATCCGGTCATTTATTATCAACTGCACAGGTTGAATCAGCAATTGTTGAACATAAAGCTGTAGCTGAAGCAGCAGCTGTATCAAGTCCACATCCTATTAAAGGCGAATGTATATATTGTTTTGTCGTTTTACATAATGATTATGAATTTAATCCTGAATTAGAAAAGGATATTAAAGATCGAGGTATGTCAAATCGATTATAAATAATAAATATCATATGATGCTATTTTTTTTGTTCCAATTGGGACGAATCAAACATTTGCACATTTGTCTTGTCACTCTTTTCATTTATATTCTTATTTTTTTTTATTCTTATTCCCATGACCAAAATTCATTATTCACACATAAATTATTTCACGTTGACAACTTGAAAACAACAACAACAACAACAACAACAATAAAAAGCACGTGAAAAAATTGGAGCATTAGCTGCACCCGAAGTAGTACATCCAACTAGTGCATTGCCTAAAACACGTTCGGGTAAAATAATGCGTCGCATATTATCAAAAGTCATACGTAATGATAAAGATTTAGGTGACATTTCAACAATGGCCGATGAATCAATATTGGAAGAATTATTTGCAACAAGAGATTTATATGCAATTGTTGCACTTGGATGATATTTTCATTTTCATTCATTTTTATTATTACTAATCTTTCATTACAAAAATCATCATCATCATCATCATCACCTTCACCTTCATCATCATCATCATCATCTTCATCATCATCAAAAAAAAAAAAATTATTATAACCTAATAACAAAAAAAAAAAAAGAAAACATTTTATCCACTTAGCCACGAAATAAAATATATGGACACACACACACCTTTATATATATAGACAATATAGAATAATAATACATTGATAATACTTGATGGTTGTGGTCAATAAAAATAATGACTATTGATTGATTGATTGATTGATATATGATTCAAATATTCAGATTCTAATTCGATTCGTTGTTTTTGTTTTGTTTTTTTTTGTTTGTTTGATTTATTCTGATTTAGAGATTTTTTTTTCTTCTCTTCCCCTTCCTCTTATTCTTCTTGATCATTCTTATTAGGGTTTATAATATTGATGAATTTATTATTAATTATTATTATCATTCATTCATTTATAATTTAAACTAACAAACATTGAAATGATTGATTAATTCAAAATGAATTTGATCAATCAAACACAAAACACACACACACACACACACTAACACACATGAATACATACACCAAAACCAGAAAATAATATGTTTTTGAATCATCATCATCATCATCATCATCATCATCATCATCGTCGTCATCATCATCATCATCATCATCGAAATTCTTATATAATCATTATCTTGTAAATGTATAGCCAAGAATTCAATGATAATAATAATAATAATATAGATAATATATAAGAAAAAAAAATTAACAATTCTAATTATCAATAATTTCGATCAATTTCGATCCGTTTAGAGATAGATAGATTCAATATATCAATATTGAATTTGGAATAATAATAATATTTTTTTTTTGTTCATGCTGAGCTAATCGATTAATAATCGATTGATATGTATCAAATATTATTAATAATAGTGATTACGTCACCTGTTGATGGCTAATATATCATTTTTTTCATCAAAAAAAAAAAAAAAATGAATGTAATTTTGTGTTTGTTTGTTTGTTTGTTTATTCGCTTGTTTTTCTTGTAATTCAAATATTTATTTATTTTTTTGTTGTTGCATAAATTAGGCAACAAGTGTTTTTTTTTCTATTTACCCTAAAATCGCAACTACAATTATTATATAAGACGCAGATATTTTTTCTACCACCATAATTAAGTAACTATTTTGTGTTATAAGTCGCAATTTTAAGGTAATTTCAGCAATAAAATATAAAATGTTTGAATTAAAAGAGAGAAAGAGTTGATAATTCTTTCAAAAAAAAAAAAAAAAAAAAATTTCACGTTGTTTTTCCAATTCTTGTTGTTTCATGTTTGTTTATACAGTTATGTGGTTGTTGTTGTTGTTGTTGTTGTTGTTGCTGTTGTTGTTGTTGTTTTATAATTATTCAGATGACAATTTTTTTTGCTTATTACATACCTTGTCTGAAATTTTTTTTTGTTTTGTTTTGTTTTCATCATAATTCCAGCTGCAACACATATAAAGATGTATTGCATTCGTTTACTCGCTCATTCGAAATTCGAGTTTGTTATCATTTTATTTTTCTCCAAACAAAAATCTTATCTATAAGTAAAAAAGAGAAACTAGCCATTAGGCAATGGCAAAAATTATCCATACATACACACACACACATGTCTCTGGTGATTAATTTCTCTCCTTTTTTTTCATTAATCTATACTATTACTGATATTTCGAAATTTCAAAGAAGAAGAAAAAAAACGAGATAAATCGATCAATTTTCTTTCACCAGAAAATGTGAAAAAAAAAAGCCCGAAGGTGATCAAATGAATTTCATTTTTTTTTTTCATTTACAAAATTCTCGAAATTCACCAAAATGTACAGTCACGTATTTCGTATCATTGCATTGTACTGGAACGTTAATGTTGTTGTTGTTGTTGTTGTTGTTATCATGGTGAATCGAATGTGAAATTTAATGGATCATAATTATTATTATTATTATTATATGTATGAATGGCCCTTTTTGGAACATCTTTTTTTCATTTCTGGAACACTGATAGAAACATTGAACAAATGAAATGACAAAGAAAACTTGATTTTCAACTTTTTTTTCTTCTCTGTTTGTATGCAATTGATATTTATTTTTTTTTTTATTTTGATTCAAAAATTACTAATTATTATTATCCATCATCAACAACGATGACGACAAAGAAACATTAAAATGAAAAAAAATAAGAGTTGGCCCAATAAGTGTGTGTGTGGTTCCATCAACAACAACAACGACAAAGCAGAAAAAAAACAATTAAAAAAGCGAAAGAGAAAGGAAAAAAAAATTTCAATTAAATAACTCTATGATGATGTATCTCTCTCATTTATCGATCCAAAAGGAAAAAAAATCCCAATGGTGAGACATTAATCTCTAAGGCCAACAACAACGACAACACAAACGAACAAGGAAAATGAACATTCATTGTGTTTCATAAGCTTAAGAGAAATTTTTTTTTTTTTGGATCCTCATGTGATTTTATCATCATCATCATCATCATCATTATCATTCTATCTTGCATCTGATTACATTAGACTTAAACAAAAAAAACACGAAAAAAAACTGGTTCTTGCTCTAAGGTCTCTTCTTTTACTATTTTTTTTTTCTCTGAGATTTGGAACATTTTTCACAAACACGTTCTAACATTCATGTGTGTGTGTGTGTGTGTGTTTGTATCTTGGACATTAGTCATTTTCATTCCATTCAGTTTGGATTTGGAAAATTTTTTTTTTATTCAATTTGTTGCTGCTGTTGTATTTATCAACGAGAAAAACTACAAACTAAAACTGGACATAACTGGGCATATAAAACTAGTTATCTCATCCAATATAAGAAAAATAAAATCCTTACAAAATAGCTAGGACTGTTGTATTATTATATTTACACGTAATAGTATCATATGATGATGATGATGATGATGATGATGTTCGAATCGAACCATACGATGTATCGACAATGACGACGTATCGATGAACGTGTTTTTTTTATTTCTCTTGAATTATTGAAGAAAAAAAAACAAGAAGAACAAAAAAAAGAAACTAATCTGAAATTGCAACTAATTTTGTTCGTGTGTTTGTTTGTGTATGTATATGTCCATTTCTTCCGTCATTACTTTGGCCATTTCTGGATTTTATTTTTATAAACAAAAATCAAATAATAACCGACAACGATCACCAACAATTTCCAAATCCATCGTTTTTAATCATTTCATTTTGTTCACTTGTGGTGTGTGTGTGTATGTTTATTTGAATTTTTAAATAACCGAAAATCAATTATCATCATCATCATCATCATCAACATCATAAACAATCAAAATGCCATTCACAAGTTTAACGGGTTACGAAAAAATTTTCTATGATGTACAAGGCAATGGTGATTGTGTATTGCTCATGTTACCTGGATCAATTGGTTTGTAATTCATAATTTTGTTTATTTTTTAGTTTTCATTGAATTTTTTTTTTCGTTTTGTTTTGTTTTGTTTACAATAAGGATCCACTAGACAAGAATATGGCCAACAATTTGATTATTTTGATCAAGAAAAATTTACATTAGTATCATGGGATGCACCTGGTTTTGGCCAAAGTCGTCCACCAGAACGTGATTATAATGATTGTTATAATCGTGATGCAAAATTATTGATCGAATTAATGGATCAATTAAAATTGACTAAATTCAATGTATTAGGATTTAGTGATGGAAGTCGTACGGCTATCACTATTGCAAGCCAATTTCAGGATCGTGTGAATAAATTGGTTCTGTTGGGTGCTACCACATTCAACAGTCCAAAAGAATTGAAAGTATTCGATCTTTGTCGTGATGTAAGCGGTTGGACTGATCAACGACGTGAAATGTTTGAAAAAGTTTATGGCCAAGATTTGCAAAAAATGTGGGCCGGTTGGGTGGATATGAATAAAACGTTGGATGATTTCATGACACCGGCATTGGCTAATGTTCAATGTCCAGTATTGTTATTGTATGGTGAAAATGATATTATTGCACCAATCGATCCACATGCTGCACATATGCGTAAAAATCTGAATCGTTCACGTATACATATTTTTCCGAAAAGTTCACATCAAGCACATCAAGAACGTACACGTGAATTTAATAAAATTGTTGAAAAATTCATTAGCTCATGAATGACACATTTTTTTCCATATATTTATTAATTAACATTCATTCATAAATTTTGACAACACAATCATTTCATTCATTTTCAACAATGACATTCGGTCGATCAATCGATCGATCGATCGATCGATATTATTTCCTGTATGAGCAATAAAAAAAAAATATTTTTCATTTTATCAAAAAAAAAACATACATTATTTCAAATCAATTCAATTGTCTGGTTGTTAAATTGTTATATATCGTTGTTTGACGTCACGAACAAAAATTTTTCTTGTCTATTTCTTAAATGATCATCATCATCAGAAAATTGTAAACGAATATCCATTAGTAAAGTACGGAATGATCGTCAATACTTGAAAAGTTCATGGTCATACACAATGATATCAGGATGATTTCCAGTGCTGCACTGTTGCATTTGTTGTTGATAAGAGAATGTCGCCATTTGATAATAATAAAACTATATAGTTACTATATATATATATATAGTACATGAGTACATGATGATAAATGTGTCGAAAATGTTGTCAAGTGGAAAACAAAAGTTACTAATAAAATTATTATTTATTTGTTTCTTATTTCATCAATCGATTTTAGCCATGAATTTGACCGTAGAACCTATTTTAACCACCGATGTTTCTGATCTTGGTGAAGGACCACATTGGAATGATCAAAATCAACAATTATACTATGTGGATGCATTCGCTGGTTATGTTCATCGATATTGTCCCCGATTGAATTTGGATGTCAAAATTAATCTTGGAGATTTGGTTACCATTATCATTCCAATCGCTAATGATACAAATCATTTTCTAATAAGTTTACGAAATAAAATTATCAAATTCAATTGGATTCGTGAAACATTTGATGTCATAGCTGAATGTGCTGCCGAACATAATGGAAAAGAACGTTTCAATGATGGTAAAATTGACGCCGCTGGCCGACTTTGGATTGGTACCGTTTTAGAAGGACCAGATGGTGTAATTAAATCTGGTGGATCACTATATCGATTTAATGTGGACAATCTAAAATTCATTAAAATGACCGAAAATTTTACCATTTCCAATGGAATGGCTTGGAATCATAATAATACTTTAATGTATTTCAATGATTCAGAAGATAGAAAAATTTGGCTTTTTGATTTTGATCTCCATAAAGGAACAATAAATAATCGTCGAATATTTTTAGATCTTGATAAACATTCAAATTCATTCAAATCAGATGAATATCCTGATGGTATGACAATCGATTCAGATGATTATATATGGACATCAATGTATAATGGTGGCCGTATAGTACGAATCGATCCACAAACTCGACAAGTGATGATGTCGATTTCAATTCCAGCTCTTCGTACTACATCATTAACATTTGGTGGTGAAAATTTGAATGAAATTTTCGTGACAACCGGTGCTGATACAAATGAACAGGAAAAATATCCAATGGCGGGTAAAATTTTCAAAATAAAATTTAAAAACAATAATGAACAGATAAATGGTAAAAAAGCATTTCAATTTAAATTTTAATTCATTTTGGATTAAAATTATAATTTTCAAATAAAATCAAAAAAAATGTATTGCACATGACTAGAATATTCACTCATCGTCGATTCGAATCAAATCGAATTGATTATTGATTATTGATTGCAGAGAAAAAAATCTAAATATAACTACAGTCTAGACTAAAAAGACTATAACTAATAAGATAATAAAATTGGTGAAACACCGACTTGAAAAAAAGTAATCTGCTTTTCAGCTAAATAATCGTTGAATGAATGCCTCATAATCATAGGCATTTTTGATTTCACGATTCGTTTTTGGATCAACATATGGTTTCATATGTTTAATACAATAGTCCACTTTATCCCATGGTATATTCTAGATTCAAAATTAATTGGATGAAAAGAATGAAAAAAAAATTCCAAACAGAATTGATATTATTTACCGCTTGAATCTCTTCCAATGTAACATATGGCCGATCATTGGCAATATATCTGAATGCATTATACATTTCTTCCTGTGTGGAAATATTTTCCGTTTCTTTGCTAATCATAAAGGCAATGAAATCATGTAGAAAAACGTGGCCACTACGATATGGATCAACTTCATCAAGTATTTCATCAAATTCAGAATCCTGTTCACCTTCATCCATCAACGGTAGATCATAGCCTAATGCACGCATACAAGATTTAAAATCTTTATGATTCAATTTGCCCACACGTTCCTTATCAAAATGTTTGAACATCATTGTAAATTCACGTAAACTTTCTTCACTGACACCTGATTGATTTTTCGCTTGAATTTGTTGTTTCAGATTATTTTGCATACGCATTGCTAATTGATTGATTTGATCCCATTGTTGTGCCAGACTTAATGCACTATGATTAGTGTATTTATTGTCCAAAATTAATCGCTCTTCAAGTGTTGCCGTTAATCCTTCAATCTTTTTCAGATCTTCACGTTTTTTCATTATTTCTTCAGCTTTTTGTTGTGCTGATTTTAATTGTTCTTCCAATGTTCCTTGCGCATCCATCAATGCAACTCTAGAAGAATCGAGAAACCGAATTAACCAAAAAAAAAAAAAAAATTGTTTGTGAAATTAAATAGTTCAAATTACCTGATATATGAAAGCCATTGATGAAATTTATCGGCAATCAAAGCAAATTCTTTTCGTAATTTATCATTTTCCACTTGTCTTTGATATTCTTTTTCCAATTCTTTATTACGTTCAAGTACAATTTTCTGTAGATTACGCCATGTATCATTAATGGCTTCAATAGTGAACCATGTATATGGATTCGGTCCTAATTTATAGGCTTTAATTTGCCTATCTAAATCCAATAATGTTTGATAATCATTATGTGCTTGTGATAATGAATCAATAAAATTTTGATGATTTTTCGTCAATGTTTGCATCTCTTCCAATGAATTACAACGAACCTGTACAAACTAATCAATTAAAATCGAATTGTTCCATACAAAAAAAAATTGATAATGAATTATAGTTTACCGGATCGGTCAAATCTTCTTCGGCATTTTCGAACCATGAATTAAAAGCTGATGCTTTTTTTGCAAATGACAGGAATAAATCCTCAATTTCTTTGTATTGATTTTGAACATTCAATAATCGTTCTCGTCGTTGTTGTGCCAATGTGTGAAGATTTTTCCAACGATCCATTAGGCATTCATATCGTTTGTTAATGTCATCACGTTTAACATGATCACGACCAGGCGATACTAATGCATTCTTGAATAATGTTAAACTTTTCAAACTTTCCTGTTCGAATGCTTGTAGACTATTGTCAAAATTGTTTTGTTTCTGTTGTTGATGAGATAGAAAAAAGAATTTAGTCAAATGATCAAACATTATTAATGATATAATAATTACCGATAATGAAGCCGAAACTGCCGAAAGATCTCGGCCAATTTCATCATTCTTTAAACGTTGTTCTTTGTTGGCGATCCAATTTTCAACAACATCAGCTTTCCACAAGAATCGTAGATAATCAAAATTATCAATCAATTTTTGTTTTCGTTTTTCGGCCAATTTTTGCAGATTATTAAGTTTATCATGTAGTTGATCCAATTTCTGTTCAACTTTTGGTGAACAAAAATTGCCTTCATTAATAAGACCACGTCCAGTCAATGTAATATCTTTGTATCGATTCATATGGTTTTGAAAATCTTTTTCAAATATTTCATGTTTTTTCAACAATCCTTGTGCCGCTGCAATCGAATCACCACAATTTGGATCACAAAGTAATTTATATTTCTCTGTGATCCAGGATTCTTCTTCTTCAACATCGGTCATAAATTGTTGAAAAATCAATGCCTCTTCCAGTTTATCGGCACGATCCTGTAATTTTTGTTTCAAATCTTGCCAATTATTTTCTAATTTTTCCAATTTTTGTTCAGTTTCTGGTGCATTCGGTGATGTAGTTTCGGCCATTAGTTTCTGTCCAGTTGCAATGATATTTCTAATCAATGGTTCATGTGTCAAAACATCTGCTTCTAAACGTTTTTGTTTTTTTCGTAAATTATTCACACCAATCAAATCTTTACCAAAATCATCCGAATCCTGTAATAATTTCTTCTCGTTAATCCAACTATTTTGATCGTTGATATCTTTGAAGAAACGATATGTAGTCAATGCATCATCAAGTTTATCATTACGATAAGCGGATAGATTTTTCAAACGTTCATAACGTTCATTCACTGATGAACGTTTATCTTGTAATGCCTGTTTATCACCTTGATCTGATTCCATCAATGAATCGGCCAAATTATTCATCTTTTTTATCTTTTCATCTCTAGCAGCAATATCAGCATCAAGATTCTGTTGTTTTTTAATCATATTCTGTACGGAAGCTAAATCTTTACCAGTTTCTTCATTTTTCAGCAAACCTTCCATTTCATTTAGCCAAAAATCTAAATCTTTGATGGCAGCATTGAAATCTCTACCTTTGTTAGCTTCACGTAATTTAAATGTTTTCAATTTGGTTCGTTCGATTAAAAATTTCCATTGTTCAGTAACGGCATCCAATCGTTGTTTGACAGCATCTTCATTTCCTGCACATTTTTGTTTTTCAATCAATTTTTTACCATCATCTAACATTTGTCGAATTCGTGCTTCATTGGCACGTAATTCAGCTTCGAATGATTGTTGTTTTTGATTTTTGGATTCAATATTTGCCAGATCACGATAGGGTGATTCATCCAATGCTGTTTGCAGTTTTTCATTGATCAACAATTCAATTTCGTCAGCATCACGAGAAAATTGTTGTAATGATTGTGATTCACCAAGCTGTGATTTTTTATCCACTAATTTATTTTTCAATTCTTTCCAATGTTTCAATAGTTCATTGATTTTGTTCTGTATCGGATCCGAATTAAAATTATCATTTTTGATTAATTGATCACCAAAATTGGCAATGGTAGCGATTTTCTGTTCCTGATTATCGATGGCTTTTCCAAGATCTTCATGACGTTTGATCATTGCTTCAACATTATCATCATCATCGTGTGGTGATTCCAAAAATTGTTCTCGTTTAGCCATCCAATTATCAGCTTGTTCACATTCTTTTTTAAAATTCAAATATTCCAACACTTGTTCCAGAAATTTTTTCTGTTTCTTTCCTTCATCTTTCAATTTCTGCCGTTTGACTTTCATATCATCTAATTTATTCTGAATTTCAGGCGTTGCATAATGATTTTGTTCAATCAATTTTTGTCCAAATTTTTCGAAATTCTATTCCAAACAAAAACAACGATTAGTTTTTCAAAGAAAAAAATTTCTAATAAAAAAACTTACATTAAACGGCGTTGAATTGGCTTCGATTTCTTTGACCTTTTCTTGATGTTGTTCCAACAAAGCTTCCGCTTCAATCGGATCATTGGCTTCATGAGCTTTATGATCTTGTAATCGACTCAACATAGACATAATCCATTGTACAAGATCATTGAACATTTCACGGAATCTTTGTAGATCATATAAATTAATTATCTTCTTTTTACGTTTCTGTGCCTGTCCAAGAAGTTTATCCCAATCTTTATTCACTGTTTGTTGTTTATGTTTTGTTTGATCAGCTTGTTCTGGTCGATTGTTAGCCAAACGCGAAGAAGTTTCTTTCATTCGTTTGATCTTATCATTCAATGCCGCCAAATCCCGTTCAAGACCATCATATTTTCGTTTTAATTTTTCCACCGATTTAATATCATCTTCATTGATATTGTCCAAATCCTTCAGAGCATCTTCTTTCTCTTTAATCCAATCAATTGTTTCATCAATATCACGATTGAATCGTTGTACTTCATTTGCACTTTCTAATTGTTGTGCCTTTTTTGCTGAAATTTGTTGCAATTCATTCCATTTGTTATTCAATTGATTCACTTGTTGATCAATTTTGGCTGCCGCTTCTTTATCACCTTGATTCCTTAGCTTATCGGCCACATCCTTCATTTCGGCCAATTGAACTTCATTCTGTTTAAGTTCATCGAAAAAATCATCAAATTTCTTCTGCATCATTTCCACTTGTTCCAAATCATCAAGTTTCTCATCAATAACTTCGATTGTAGCAATCTGTTCTTTATCTTTGATCCATTGTGTTAATTCATTAGCTTTACGAGCTGTTTGTAATGCTTTACATGCATCCTCTAATTTATTCTTTCTACGACGACCATGATCCAATAGGTCGGCATATTTTTTTTCAATTTGTTTCTGCCGTTGTGGAATCGAATCTCGATCCAATGTTCGTTGTTGATCTTTATCAGCAGGTATGGCCGTTTCAGTCTTACGTAAATAAGCAGCCGGTACGAAACCTTGTCGATCATTGATTTCAACTTTCCACCAATCTTTATTATTAGCATTTAACAATGTCAAAATGTCACCTTTTTTCATTGATACTTCACGTGGAGATTTCTCCTGATAGTCCATTAATGCTACGACCACTTCTTTGCGAGTTTCCATCGGAACCGGTACTTTTCGTTGTTTAAAATCTTCTGCTCGTTTACGAAGATCTTCGATTGTATTTTTGAATGCATCAATATCATCCATAAGTGCATCATGTTTTTTCAACAATGCTTCAATAGCATCTTCTGTTTTGGCAGAACCAATAGATGGATCACTTGCTAATGGCTCTTTTTCATTCAAACATGTTTCGGCTTCATTCACATCCGTAAAGTATTGATGAATTGAAATGGCATCATCCAAATCATCTTGACGTTTATTAGCACGATCCAGTAATTCATTCCATTTATCTTTCAAGATTTTAATCCGTTCAATAATTTGATCTATACCAGATTTAGGCATCGATCCATCTTTGACCAATTGTTCAGCTTGATCAATTACGGCCTGAATTCTTGGCTTGTGATTGTTTATCTCAGAAAGAATGGCCTGATGTTTCTTGTTCAAATTTTGTGCGCCCATCAGATCACGGCCACAATTTGCTGATTTAACTAGCGGTTCTTTTTCATTGATCCATGCAATTTGATCATCGATATCACAAAACAATTGTTGCGTTTTGGCCGAATCAACCAAACGACGACGACGATTTTTCACCGGTATTTTGATATTATTGAAACGTTTGACTAGGCCATTCTTTTTGGCTGCAATCTGATTTTTATTGAAATGATTTTTATCAATCAATTCGTTGGCTTTGTTAATAATATTATTAACTGTTTCTTGACGATCGGACACTTCCAATTCAATGGCCGATTGTTTTTTCAACAAATTCTGAACATAATTCAAATCTTTTCCCTTATCTTCAATGGCTAATTGACGTTCGATTTCATTCAACCATAATTCAACATCTTCTACTGATCGATTAAATGCCTGTTCATCTCCGGCATCATCCAATTTGGTACCTTTATTTTCAGTAGCATTGATAAGATCATTCCAAATTTTATTGATATCATGCGTTTTATTACGAATATCATCCGATGCATAATGTTGATCATTAATTAATTTTTCACCTTTACTGATCAATTCATCGATACGTGGTTGATTGGCTTCGATTTCTTGTTTAAAATTTTCAATCTGTTTAACCTTTCCACTTAAATTAGTCAAATCACGCCATGTATCATCCAATGACATTTTCAATTTTTCAACGATCCAAAATTTTTGATCATCATAATCAATGAGAAATTGATGGTAACGATAAGCATCCTGCAATAGATGACGACGTTGACGTGCTCGTTCAAGTAGATCATTACGTCGTAATAAAAATGCTTGTCGTAGTTGTTCAATATCATCCGAAGCATAATGATTATTTTCAATTAATCGTTGCGCAAATTCATCCAATGCATTAATCTTTTCCTGATGTGCTATCATTGTTTTTTCAAAATTGTCATGTTTTTTGATCATCGATTCCACCTGATCCAACGATTCGCCAAGATCTTCGTTCTCCAGGAATACATCTTGTTTATTCATCCATTGTTCGGCTTGTTCAGTGTCACGATAGAACAATTGCAAATCCATACATTGTTCATAAAGAATTCGTCGTTCTTCCCATAACATGACCAAACCCATTTTTTCATCATTCAAATGTTTCAGTTTTTCTTTCACTTCGGGTACCATAATTTCCTTTTCAATCAATTGTTTACCTTCGTTTTCTGTCATTTGAAAACTGTCTTCACGAGCATCGATTTCACCCTTATGTTCTTGATGTCGTTCGAGTAGAATTTCAGCACCGGCAACATCTTTGGCCAATTCTTCAGCATTAATCATATCTTTGACTAATTGAATCCAAAGTATCAAATCTTTATAATCGGATAGAAATTTTTGCACCTGATATGCTTCATCTAAACGTTTTCGGCGTTCATCCGATTTTGCTTTCAATTGTTTCCAAGCATTCTCTAAATTGGCCTTTTTGCTAGCAATATGATCATTACCATGCGAATGTTTTTTCGACAATTTATCTGCTTGTTTGACTGGAAAAAATATGAAAATTGAAATTTAAACAAATTATGATCAACGGAAATAGTCAACTTACTTTGATTATCAACTTTATCGCCTAGAGCGGCCAAATCTCGTTCAAAATTTTCATGTTTACGTTGCAACGCTTGTACGCTCATTAAATCTTTGCCTAAATCATCATTGGCCAGAGTCTGATCTTTGTCGGTAATCCAACCAAGCGTTTCCAATGTTTCCTGTGTGAAATCATGAATTTCATGACCTGCACCAAGTTTATCCTTACGGTTAGCTGCCATGTTCTTTAAATTTTCCCAAGCATCGTTGACCTGTTGTTTATTTTTACTGATAACTGCAGCATCTGGATGACCATTCGAAATTAGCTTATTTGCCTGGTCATTGATTTCCAATATACGAAATTCTTCACCGCTCATATCTTTGACTAGATCTTCAAATTTACGAGTATGAACTTCAATATGATCAATATCATCAATACCGTCAGTTCCAAGCTGGGATTCTTTGTCCGTAATCCAATAGAGAATTTCATCACATTTTTTTGAAAATTGTAACAAAATTAGAGCTTCATTCAGACGAACACCACGAAGCTGAATTTTCATAAACAGCATGTCCCAAAGTTTGTGTATTTCTTCCAAACGTTTCTAAAATACGAGAAATTAGACATGAGAGAAAAATTAATGCAAAATAATCTACCTTGATTGTATCGCTGGCAAAATGTTGACTCTGTATCATTTGATTGCCATTCTGGTCCAATGTTTCGATGGCTGATGTATGTGCCTGTACTTCTGCTTCAAAAGCTTGATGTTTTTGGATTTTGATCTGAAGATTTGTCGTATCTTTGTGCCATTCTTCTGAAGCAACTTGTAGCTTCTCCATGATCCATGCTTCCAATTCATCAGCATCACGTTTAAAATATTGAAAACGTTTTGAATCTAAAAGTTTGTTCCGTTTATCTTGAGTATCGGCTTTGAATAGGACATATTTGCCAAGTACTGTATCACGACGATCTTGAATATCATCGACGGTTTCTAAAATTTTCACCTCTTCCGGTACCAAAGTTGGCGACAAAGGTGGACTATGTACTGGACTGAATGGTGATCGTTGTTGTGAATCCAATTGTTCAGGCTGTGGATTTAAGTTTAAATTTTTAGGTTTCGGTGGAATTTTTGGTTTTTCCGAAACTTTTGGCTTCTCTGGTTTAGGTTTTTCTTGTTCCATTTCCATTATTCAATTGGTTGGTGGAGAACAACAACAACAAAAAAAAACTCAAAAATTAAATTTATCGGTCATCGCTGAACGAACGAATTTGGCGAATGAATGAATGCATGAATGAATAAAAAAAAAATTCTTCTCCTTCAGAATCGTATATGCTGGTTATATAAGTTTATTCATTCAGCAGCAATATGGGTGTGTTAAGTGCCGAAAATAGCATCCATCATTACTTCCCTAGCATTATCATCATCATCGTCATAGTTGCTATATGTGTTGCATACATTGCAAAGAACGAAATTCAATGCGTATTTGATGCCAACATTTTCATTTCTAATGATTTAGTCATGTTTAACATGTTTAAAAATTTTACCACCCATACTAGCTCACTTTGATCATTAGTTGGACAGATTCTATAAAAAGAATCATAATCATTAAATTGATCGTAAATCTTTCAATATTCATTTCGGAAACGTTGTATATGAACAGTGTAGCTTTATTTTATTTTTTCAGAAATGTTTGTTTTGAAATCAAAAATGTCTCAACTGAATAAAGATGTGACGAAATCACAAAAATTAATCCAAATAAATTCATCATCGATTGTTGATTTGAAAGCCGAATTATTTAGAAAACAAGAACAAGTTCGACAGCTAAAAAAATCCACAGATTCGACAATACAAAATGATCAAAGTGATGAACATCTGTATGCTCAAGGAGCCAACAAAAATATCACATTACCAAAAAGACTTTTGGAAGCTACACAACAATCAGATGGTGACAATAAACCAAACAAACGTGCATTTATCAAACAGAAAGAAGATGAAATTAGAAAAGAATTAACCGAAGCTGAAGAACGAGTTCTACAGAAAAGTCGGGAAAATCTCGAAAGAAAAGCCAAATTGTATGACCAAATTTCTAAAGGTCAAGTTAAAATTGATTCTGATGATGAAAATATTCTGGTAAATTTCAATCAAAAACATTCCATGTATGATTCTGATGATGATGAAGATGAAGATCTAGTTGAATATGTTGACCAATTTGGACGAACTAAAATGGTCACTCGACATGAATTGGATCGGCTAGAAAAAGAACGTGAAGAAGAAGAACAACGTGAATTGAAGTTACGATTACAGGAAAAATCAAATTCAGATTATGAATCGGAGCCTAATAGTGTACCAGATTATGAAGCGAAGCCAACTGTATCCAATATTCATTATCAACATGTTCTTGAAGGTGAAGTTCGTGATCATGGTGTTGGATTCTATTCGTTTAGCGAAGATGAACAAATCCGTCGACAACAAATGGAAATGCTTGAACAATTACGTAAAGAAACTGAATCGAATAAAAATGAAAAACGAAGAATCAAAGAAAAACGAAAACGGATGTTAAGAAATCGTTTGGAAAAAATTGCAGCACGAAAAGGCATAACATTGCCAGCGGTTCAATCGGATGATAGCGATGATGATGATGATGATGATAATGATGGTGATAATAATGAAAATCCAGACAAAACAATCCGTTTAGAAAAAGCTTCACTGGAAATGAAAATTCCTCAATCTACTGGTCCAAGAGAATGGGATCTAGGAAAAGAAGGTGTTCCCATTGATATACACATTCGAAATAAAACAACATTCTATTCACAGGAAAAATATAAAGAAAAACAACGTGAAGAACGTAATCCAGATTTTGCACCACCACAAATATATCATCATCATCATCATCATCAATCTAAGAAATCATCATCAAATGAACGACAACGTTCCAGATCATCATCACGTACAAATGAAAGTGATACTGTTGATTCAAAATCTGAACATTCGGAAATGTTTAAATTTATAACGGAAAAAATTTCTGAAATACGTAAAAAATCTTGATTAAATTGTTTTATTTTAAATGATTGTTTTATTTCATCAATTTTAATTGATAATTTAATGAATTTTTTTCTCATCAATCGTGAAATCAAATTCTCTTGCATCTTCAATATTTGTTGCTGATCCTTTTCGAATAAGTATAAGTGTAACTTTGGCCAAAGTAAATGTCCAATAAATATTGGTTATGTGAATAAAAATTGATAGACCATGAAGAAAAAGATAAATAGAACCACGTTCTAAATGGCAAAGTTGATAAAAATTTTTCATTAAAGGTGGTGATAAAATCAATGGATATGCATATAATCGGCTAAAACACCAGACGAATAGTGAAATGGAGAAAAAAATGATTCGCACATGATTGATATATTTTTGTAGTAAATGAATTTGTAATTTTAAGGCGAATTTCGAGAAAACAAATATATCTGTTATTTCCATCATAAAAATACCTGCCACAATAAATAAATGTTGTCGAATAATATAGGATAGAATTAATATTAAAACGCCAATCAAATGATGTATGATCCAAACCGGTGCATCTTTGTCATGATGATAGCCAAACAATAGAAGACCAGTAGAATGAATATATTCGGATATACTAATTAGATAAAGAAAACGAATTTTGAATGGAATAATCATATGAACATTTCCCATATTTTCGAATGTATCCGTTTCATTGTAGATATTCCATGCTAATAGATATACAGGTGTACGAAAAATAAAAATCCAAAAATCATGACAAAATTTATTTCGATGTTTCTCAAAAACATATCCATTGGACACTAAAATATTACACATCACATCGAATATAAGATGTCTGATGAGAGAAATGACACATAATGTTGCGATAATATAAACGAATTCAGTTCGATAATAATTGTTCATTCGGCATAAATTTATGATTGAATGGAAAAAATCCGACCAAAATGGTTGTCGATATGATTCATTTGATGAACATTTCATTAAATTATATGAATCATTCATAAATTCAACATAATCATTGATGAGACCCATTGGTTTGGATGATTGGTTTGGATAATAATTTGAATTGAATGAAACAAATGAATTGAAGACTGTTTTGTTTTTGTCCTTTTTATTCAGATCATTCATTCATTCATTCATCCATGTTTTACATGATGTTATTATCAAACTAACGAATTATCATTATCTACTACAATTTTTAAAACAAAATTTTCAAAATGATAAAAAAAAACAATGATCTTGATTATTGTTCTCATGCAATATTTCATATAATTAGAAAAAAAAAAAAAAATCCAGCTATCTGCATACCATATTGTGACACCATGTTGAATGAAATAATAATCAAGAGTTTGTGTCGCGCAAAACCGTGGATAACCAAATTAATCAATTTTCATTCGATAAATGTGAATGAAGAGACATTGTTTTTTTTTTGACATAAATCAAACAAGGAATAGGAAAAATTGGCCATATTGATCTATCAAATGTTCAAATTGATCGAATGATTCAATTAATCGATCAATAGAGCATGACGGCTCGTTGAAGGCATGAGATTTTTTTTTCTTTGATGATAAAATAACTCGGATTCATTTGATTTTTTTTTCTCGGTGAATTTTCATTAACAAAAATAGCTACCACCCAATCTAACCCATTACTCAAATGATGATAAATGTGAAAAAAAAATTCGAATTTTATGTGCATCCACCACCATCTGGTGGTCATTTGTTCATTAAATTGATAATTTAAATTTTTTTTTTAATTTTTATTCATTAAAAGACAAAAAAAAAATTAAGGAAAATGAAATACACAAAATGGATAATCATTCAAGATATATTTTCAAGACAAGATATTCTTATTCATACATACATTAGTTTTGTGTGTTTTTTTTTTGTTTTGTTTTTGAATAAAATGTTAATGTGAGCATTGTGGTGGTGGTATTCATTGCTTTTTTTTATATATCTAACTTATTTTATCAAAAATATAAATCTCTCTCTCTCGCTATAAAATAAAATTGGAAAAAAAAATTATAATAAATTCAAAAAATGCTGCTTGAATGTAGATTTTTTTTAAGGAGGGTTAAAGGTATTGGTGGATTGTGGATTGACGATGATGATGATACACACCGATTGTTTTTTTAATGGATCATCTTTATTGTTATTTTATTTTTTTTTCTGTTATGGAATAAATTCTTTTACATTACATTTCTTTATGATAGCAATGTACTCATGCCGCCCAATTCATTTTGTTCTTTGACAAAAATTTCAAAATATTGATAAATGATTGTGACAGCTAATAGGATACCGGTTCCGCTACCGATTGCTCCAAGAAAATCGGCCAATACCGATAAAGCGCCAATACAAAGACCGCCAAAAGCAGCCGCCGTCGGTATGTAACGGTTAAGTTCGTGAATCATTGATTTTTCACGATGACCACGCATTACCATTTGTTGTTCTTTCAATTGTTTTGCCACATCTTTGGCGCTCGAACCGGAAACTTCGATCCAGGTTTTGGAAAAGAATGCACATGATCCTAACATGAATACAATATACAGGACGGCATGTACTGGATCTTCAATAATATGGCCCAATGTTTCTGGTGGTGATAAATAGTAACAAAGGCCACCAACCGGATAGGCACGAGCAGCGCCAGCTGAATCGGACCAAACACCAAGTAAATTGACAAAGAAATTACCACTAAATTTAACGGCCAACATTTGCGAAATGACATATAGGTTAGAAACCAAAGCGGATTGCAAAATGATCGGGATGTTCGACGTATAGAACAATTTAATCGGATATGAACTGTATTGACCACGATAACGAGCTGATTTGATTGGTAGATCAACACGGAAACCTTGGAAATAGATAACAATAGCAAAAACCAAAATGGTGGCCAACAAATTCATCAGATTGGGTAGATTGTTACGATAGAAAGCTTCACGAAGTGCACGAATTTTGTCATGACGTGTGGCCAACAAATGGAACAAAGCGATGATGGCGCCTTCGAATTCAGTACCACGACCAGTGTTTACTGTTGCTGGAGAGAATGCCTTCCAAACGATAGTTTCACAAATGTTCGTAGCGATAAACAATGATATTCCAGATCCAAGACCATAACCTTTTTGTAATAATTCATCCAACAGCAGAACGATCAAACCAGCCACAAATAATTGAATGATGATCAACATACAAATACCAGCACCAATATCACTGGGATCACCATACATTCCTGTCATGACGTAAACAATAGCCTGACCTATCGTGATGACCATACCGAAAAGTTTTTGTGCACCATTGAACAAAGCACGATCTTTAGGCGTATCACCAACTTCAATGATTTTAGCACCGGCCAACAATTGCATGATCAATCCAGATGTAACAATAGGTGATATACCCAATTCCATAAGTGTACCACGATTCGAAGCCAAAATAACACGCATCCAATAGAATGGATCAGCCGAATCCGATGACATTATACCAAATAATGGTATCTGGCAACATACCAAAAAAATGAACAAAGTGATAGCTGTCCATAATACTTTTTCACGGAATTGAATTTTACGTTCTGGTTTGGCAACTTCGGGCAATATGCCGCAGAATGGTTTGATCACTTCCAAAAATTTTATGGCCATCTTGGCAACAACGATAAATCAATCAATAAAAAAAATAACAAAATGTAACCAGTAAAAAAAATTTCTTTGATAGAATCTTAGATCTTCAAGAATGGAGAAAAAATGAGATAAACAAACGATTCCAATTTAATAACGAGTTTCTATACGAGAATCATTCATTCATTTGAAAAAGAATTCAATGATGAATGGGAAAAAAAAATTTATTTGATGTGCTGGCGGTGGTGTTTTTATCGTCGTGGTCGTTTTCTGATGATATAATTTTTAATGGTCGTGGAGCTGATTGATTGGTTGGTTTGACTTGATTTGAATAATTTTCAATGATTGTATAGAAAAATAAGCTTACGTTCGCTTATTTTTCTTCGATGAGAATTGAATCAAAATCGAATCGAATTTTTTATTTTTATTTTTTGTAATTCAAATAATCAAGCCAATGATTTAATTCAAAGGAACAGAAAAAATAAAAAATCTCCTGGCCGGATTGAATGGTGATGATGATTTTGATTTTCCACGTAGACTCTTCTTCTTCTTCACCACTCGATGATTGTATGTATGTCTGTCTGTCTGTGTGTGTGTGTGTGTATAGCGGTTGTGACGTCAGGCTGATGATGATGATGATGATGTTGATGATGCTGACAATGTTTTTCAACGGTACTGTCAATAAACAATGTATTGAATACCATAAACATATGACGTACAAGTGCCAGATTAAAAAAAAAAATTTCCACTAAATTCTATAATTGAATTTTAAAATTTAAATAATATCGATCGATCGAAAACATTGAAAAAATAAGTTCTTAAAAATAATAAACAATCACTTGTGCATGGTTTTTTTTTTTCATTTCATTTTTTTGCTAAAATTTTTAACTCTAAAATGGAAGTAAAATGGATCATAACAATAATCAAACGATTGTCAAATTTTTCACAAGAGATTTCACAAAAATATTGGACAGATAATGCCGAAAGACCAGTGGAATCAACAAATAACAATGGTTTGAATGATGATTATGAGCAATGAATTTTTTTTAATTTTTGAATAAATTCTTTTCTTGAAATTTTTTTTTTTTTTTTTTTTTTTTTGGTCCAGCATATCGTTCGGCCGTAGCCATCGTAATCATTTTTGCCATTTGTTTCACTTTAATTGAAATCGGTCGATTAATTTTATATCATCGATATAATTTACATTCATCAATAGATGAACAAACCGATCTTAGTTGAATGATGAATCAAGATTTCAAAAGTAAAAAAAAATGAAGTTAAGAATCAATCAAATTTAATGGGCACAAGATGGCACCATCATCATTTAAATTATTGATTGTCTTGTTAACCATTTATTGCAAAAAAATTCTTTCGATATTCGGTGCTTGATTCTGTTTATCGTGTGTGTGTGTGTGTGTAGTTATCTTGTTCAACTTTTTACCACCACCTCCACTATTTTATAATATTCTAGTCATGAATAATTGTGCATTGAAAATATCGAGCATCTTACGCTGGAATCATAATCGATCCATTATTATTGATATCAAAAAAATTCAATCAAGAATCATGTCTCAAACTTATCAACATTCAAATTACTGTAATAATCATAGCATCAACAACAGTTTGAATCATGATAATAAAATTATCAATGCAATTGTCGTATGTGGACCATCCGGTTCTGGTAAAACTACATTGCTTAATTTGTTATTTGAACATTTTAAAGATAAACTTAAATTCTCCATATCACGTAAGAATATTTGTCATTCTTTTAATTTAATGTTTATTAATTTTCAAATATAAAAATATTAGACACTACAAGAAAATCAAGACCAAATGAAGTGAATGGTAAATCCTATTATTTTGTAGATCGTCCTACATTCGAACAAATGATTGCCAACAATGAATTTGTTGAATATTCACAATTTTCAGGCAATTATTATGGAACCAGTATTCAAGAATTAATTACCAATGAAAAAAGTGGCCTTCTATCCGTTCTTGATGTTGATCTACGTGGTGTGATTAATTTACAGAAAAAGATATTCTAAAGGCCAAATATATTTTTGTCAAACCTCCATCATTACAATTTCTGGTAAGTTTTCTGGTTATTTCTCTTTGTTTGTCCTGTAATAACTGTAGAAATCTATGTAATTCTCCGAAGGAAATGAATCTACGAAATCGTGGCACCGAAAATGATGACAGTATTAGTGTTCGATTAAAACATGCGGCTGAAGATTTAAAACAAGCAGAAACCATACATTTTGATCTCATATTGGAAAATTTTGTTCTGAAAAATTCATTCGAAAAACTTCGACAATTCGTTCAATCGGTTAGTCATGCATCATTGTTGTTGTTGTTGTTGTTATGAAGATAGATTTTCATAATGAAATTTTTTTCTTTGTTCCAGGAACTGACACGATTCAACGAAAGTCATCGTCATCGTGAATAATTGTTGATTGTATTATATAATTGAATCAAAAGATGCATAATATTTCACACATGTGAAATGATATTTACAATATTAATTCGAACAAAAAAAATTGTTTTTTATTTTGATTAAAAGAAAAATCATTGTTAAATTATTCAAAATGATTTAATCATTGAATGGCTGAAATTAAATTCCACAAATCAATAACGATTTTTATTTTTATTTTCATTGATTATCATCTCTTAAGAACATTGATAAACGTTTCTGGATCAATCTCAACATTGCCCACCATACGCATTCGTCGTTTACCTTCTTTCTGTCTTTGCAATAATTTTATTCTTCGAGTTTGATCACCACCATATAGTTTGGCTGTCACATCTTTACGATATGCTTGTACATTGGTCCTTGCCAACACCTTTGAATTGACAAGAGCTTGAATTTTAATTTTAAATTGTTGACGATTTAAATGTTCTTGTAATTTTTCACAGATTGATCGGCCATAAGAACGGGCACGTTTTGCATGTACAAGCATTGATAATTCATCCACTGGTTTGTCATTCAAACGGAAATCCAATTTAACCAGATCGGCTTCTTCATATTTATCATCTTCATAATCAAACGATGCATAACCGGAACTAATCGATTTAAGATGATCATTAAAATCGATGATCACTTCATTCAATGGGAATCGATATTCCAACAATAATCGATTATTATCGATATATTGAGAATTAATCTGTTCACCTCGTCGTTCCATACATAATCCTGTTATTGGATTTAGATAATTATCCGGTGTTATGATTGTACCTTTGATCCATGGTTCATAATATTTGGTGATAATTTGTGGATTAGGCATTTGTGAAGCATTTGTTATGACTAATTCATCTGTTTTATATTGTTTAATATTTTTTTCGCCATGAATTTTAATTTTATATGGAACACTTGGAGCGGTTACCACTACTGGTGCATCAAATTCATCGTCTAATCGTTGACAAAAAACTTCCATATGTAATAAGCCTAGAAATCCAAGTCTGAAAGAATGAGAAAATTTATTAAAAATATGAAAATTTAATTTATCATAGTTACTTGAATCCATTGCCTAGAACTGGATGTGATTCTTTGCTCATCTGTACGCTGCTATCATTCAGTAATAATTTTTGTAGACTTTTATTCAGATCCAAGAAATTTGATTTTTCACATGGATAAATGCTAGCATAAACCATTGGATTTGATTTCAATGATTTCGTCTTTGATTCGTTATGATCATTGAGCAGTTTCATACCATTATCATCATTATGTACTAATAGGTCACCAATCGATATATCATCATTGTCATGTATGTTGGCAATCAAAACACCAACCTGGCCAGGATAAAGAGTACCAGGATCACCTGCAGCCGGTATCTGATTTGGATGTAAAATATTCAATTCTTTGACTGTATGCACTTTGTTCGAATTTGTGGTGAATACAATTTGATCACCAACTTTGATTCGCCCATCAATGATTCGAATTAGCAGAATGATTCCTTTAAATTTTTCATACCATAAATCAAAGACGACAGCTTTCAATTGTTCACTATTGGTGCTTTTTGGTGGCGGCAGTCGTTCAATGATGGCATCCAATACCTGTTTGACTCCATCACCTGTTTTTGCCGATACTTTAAGAATTTCATCTTGATTGAATTCAAACAATTTCTTCAATTGAGCTGATACAGATTCAACGTTAGCATTTTTAAGATCTATTTTGTTCAATACAGGAACAATGTTTAGATCGGCAAGCAAAGCATGATTAAAATGTGCTATTGTTTGAGCTTGTACACCGGAATTTGCATCAACCAATAGTATAGCACCTTCACAAGCAGAAATTGAACGCCAAACTTCGAATGAAAAATCCACATGACCAGGTGTATCAATCAAATTCAACAAATATTCTTGACCATTATGATTCCAAAACAGTGAACATGTTTGTGCTTTGACTGTGATGCCACGTTCACGTTCAACTTGGAGATTATCTAAAAATTGATTTTCGATCGAACCTTTTGCAACCGTACCGGTTGATTCAAGCAATCGATCCGATAATGTACTTTTGCCATGATCAATATGTGCTATGATACAAAAATTTCTGATACGATCTGTACTGAATTTCGAAACATCGATTTGCTATAAAAAAAATTGTTACCGTTTATTTAAATTTCATTATAAAGTAAATTTAATTTAATTGAAAATATTACATCTTTTTTGTTTTGTTGAGCTTTTTGTACTAGTTTTTCATTTGATGAACAAAATCTTAAAAGACAAAACGAAGGATCAGTAAATGATTGAGATATTGGCAGTGATAATTGTTTTAATCGACTACGAATTCGGAATAATCGGCTGTATGATAACATGATTTTTTTTACAAATAAAATTTTAATATATTCAAAAATTATATCGAATCACATGCAGCTGTGATACAAGACGATAGTGTCATCTATCGCAAACAATAAAAATAAAAAAAAAAATAAAAATCCCAAGGCCCGCCAAATTAAATGCTCATCAAAAGTTCATTGAAAGGCGAATGACTCTTGTTGATTTGCATTGTTTCACGAAAAATTTCAATAGCTTGATTATAATCATCGATTAAATGGCCATCATCATATTTGGTTATCATTAATTGTTTGCTTAAATCAAGGATACGATTTATAAGATTGAAATTCTGTATGAAACAAACAAACAAACTTTAGGTAAATTTAAAAACTTTGAATTTAAAAAAAACTTACAAAAGTATTTTTGATGAACAAGTCATTGATTATGGCCAAAAGTGTGGACATATGAAACCGTTGTATATTATCAATATCAGCAATCTGTTTAACATTGGCGAAAAATTGATCCATTCGATATTCAATACAAAACTTGACGTATGTATAGAAAATACCAGTAAATCGAATCAGTGAATAAAGTAAAAACCATTGAGTAGATTTATGCTGGCCACCTTTATCGACATTATTCATGTGATTTTTTCGTTTAAACATTAGAACCTGTCGTTTCCAATATTCTATCAATTGCCAACGAGTAAATTTGATTTTTTGTAAGAATATAAATATCGATTGATATTTACTCCAAACTTTATCTGTGATGATTATTTTGACTAAACTAGGTAAACGAAATGTAATCTTGAAACCAATATCATTTGAATTATGCGCCGATAATGATTGTCGGTGATTATTATTCTCAATGATTCGTTCTTTGATCGAAATAAGATGCATATAAGTTTCAGCTTCATAATCATCAAATGTTCGATATATTGCTAGATTGAATGCTTTACGAATACCATCATCTTCAATGGATTTTAATTCCAGAAAATTTGTCCATAAAAGTTCATTACCATGAAGATAGAAAGCTTTCAAATGGTGAATAAAATTCATTGAATCCTCTTTCAATGATGTTTCTTTCATTATATACTAAAATTGAACGCGGTTAGTTTTCATGAAAAAAGTTTTTAAACAAAAACATACCGAAAATACCATATTGGCTAAATCAGCCAAAAAATAACGAAACAAAATCGTTATATCATATAATTCCATTCGTTTTTCATAGTTTTGCCAGAATAAATCAGCATCAAAAAATTTAACCTTTGAATTCATTTGCATTATTTTCCGCACTAATTGACCAGTATCATAGATTTTGATTGCATTGATTGGATCAATTTGTTGTGGTACTTTACTCAGATCAAGCGATGTATTTGAATCAAGGCTACTTTTTTGGATAAAAAATGATTCATTTAACGAAGAGTTGAGTACTCCACGAGTAATCCAGGTGAAAATTTTCTGATAAAATAGATCATATTCTAATTCGATACTATGATAATTTACATGATTAGTTTAACTTTGGAAAAATCAATACTGCTTACGTTATCATATATTTATCCTTGAGAACTTGAAATAATTCAAACAATGTTTGGCAATGCGGTCTTTTTGTCGTAATTATTCGTATAATATCATCAAATAGGGGGTTGTACTGGAAATCAGAATCTATTAATTCATTTCATTCGATCAATAATTTGAAAAAATACTCACTTTAAGTAGCCCATTATAATTGCAAAATTTTTTGCTTTCAATCAATGTCTCAATTATGCCCAAATCTTTACGAAAAGTTTGTTTAATAACCGACGACACGAAGCGGTAAATGGTGAATGTGAACTCATCGATGGCTGAAAAATAATCTGATAAGTTTTTTTTTCTAATGCAAAAATGAAATTTAAAATTTTACCAGTGGAAAAATCGACTAGAATTCGGTTCAATTTCTGATGCAACACAATCAACGTGGCCAATTCTTGCCGATCGAACGGTGACAATTGATTGCCAAAATTTCTATCACTTAAATATTCATGACTTTCTCGGATGAAGGGTGAATCAAATTCCAAAAGAATTCGATATAAATCGATTTCATTTCGGCCAAAATGAATCAATTTTTCCATCATGATCGTTAATTGAAAAACTGATGAAAAGTGCCGCCAAACTAATTTATCGATAGTATCGCGATTGTCATTATAATAACGAAAATTCGGTTGCATTGAATTTTGTATGGACACATGCCGTTTTGTTATTGTGATTATTGTGGAATAACAACTGGCAAATTCTATTAGAAAAATCAAAAATGAAACTTTTAACTCATAATTTTCTTACATCTAAATGTCTAAAAGGCGTTGTCACTGGTTATCCATTAAAATTAGTGGTAAGTTTTGTTTTAAGAATTTTAACCTCAATCAAATCAAAAATTTTTTTTTCGTTCCATTCACGTTGTAATATTTAGGTAAACGAAATGAACCAAACAGAAGTGGATTTTAATCCCGATTTTATCAAACGAATGTTGCCGAAAATGGAATACGACGCACTTCGAGAAACGGCAACAACAGTCGGTGTGGAATTACCGGTTCAAAAAGATGAAACAGGCAACGAAGATTTTCTTCGACAATTACATCATGCATTGCTCGAAATTGAAATCATTAATGGTGATCTAATCTGTCCGGAAACGGGTCGAAAATTTCCCATCAAAGATGGAATACCTAATATGTTATGTAATGAGGATGAAGTTTAATCCATACAATGATTGTCATGGTTTTCATTTTTGAAAAACTAAAAAAAATAAATCGATTCATCACCATTTCTCATCTTTTCCTGTATTCTTTCTTTCCATCTGATTACTTGTCGACCTATTGCACCTTGTCGATTCATTTGTTGTGCACCTATCTTCATTGCTCGTTGATCCTCTCGTAATCGATGATCTTGTGGACCTTGTCTCATTTGACAATCTGCACCAGTTCGAACGCTAGTTCGCCCCAATCGTTCATTTAGTTTTGTTCTGTGTATCATAAAAAATTTTGATTAATAAATTTTGTTTTAAAAAATAAAACTTACATTCTGTTGTTTGAATCTGGTCCTTTTTGATTTTCTTTATCAGGCCCATGTGCAAGTTTATATATTGTCTTTATTATAATGCCATCCTCTTTGGTCCATGTAGATTTATCCACCATTTTCCGGTCTTGTTTTTTTAATTCTTGACCATCATCATCATGATCGAAAATTTCAACAATGACTAAACGTCCAAATAGATCTTGAGTTATAGAATTTGTTTGAATTTGTCGAGATACCAGAATGAATAGTTTCGGTTCAATTTTATCCGGTAATGTACGTATTAAATATTTTTCAGCATCTTGTGGTGTCATTGTATCCAAAAATGAGCTGGCCAATTTTATATCAAATTTTGTAGCTTCAAGAGCCCAATTAACAAGGAAAATATCCACCGATGGATACATTTCAATTAGATTTTTTCTGACTATAAATGAAATTGATTACATACAATATAAGAATTTGAATCGAGTTTTACATTTTTTTCTACTTACTATCCTCTTGTTCCCATAAATTAGGATGATATTTATCCTGGAATATCAAACTTTTTGGCCTTGGTGCTTGTAACCGTTCATTTGCTTCTTTAAGCAAAGCAGTCTCCGACAGCTTAGACATTCTAATCTCGATAACTTCAGAATGTTCATGTCCGATCGATTTCAAATGTTTGATCACACGGCCAGCATCGAATTCATTTTTAAACAATAAATCAAGCAATACAATTTCATCAATGTCAGGAAAGGCAAATTTTAGATATTTTAATTTTAATTGTGGCCTTTTTGAATGCTTATATCTGGTCGTATTGAATAAACCGAATAAATTGAGCAATGCTTCGATTGTAGAATGTTCACGATTTTCATGTTGAATAAGTAATTTTCGAATGTATTCCGGCTCTATATGTGGAAATGATTGTTTGATCTTATAGAACAAAGCTTCATCCACCACAATACCGGTTGCCGGTTGTCGAATATGATTTTGTGCTAATAATGCACTGATTACAAGATTTTCACGATTTCTATAGATTCTAGTCAGATGTGCAATGTATGATCGATCGACATTTGGAAATTGTATACAAATCCGATCAATGTTTGCTTGTTCTTCACTGGTTGCTCTTATCCGTCGAAATGATCTCTTGTCAGGTGATGGTTGTAATTCACCATATTCTTCTTCTTCTTTCCATTCCTCTGATGATGATGAGGAGCTTTCATCATCTGATTCACGTATAAAATAACTATGAAAATGGATAAATCAATCAATCACTTTGTTTTGAAAAAAAATTATTTACAAATCTTACTATCGTTTGGTTTTCGGATCAAATTTACAAAACCATCCAACCGGCAGGATATGATCATGAGTGGCTGTACGAAATGTGGATAATCCATTGCTTGATGATCGACCACGAATTAATTGTTCGATCCGATAACGATTACTATCAAGTATATGTGTCATTTTGTTATTCTTTTCTCAAAGAGAAAAAATTCTTCTATTCAAAAACATTGAATTCAACGCCCAGAATTGAGACTGTTCCAATGGGAAAGAATCCGGGGAATCCCGATAGTGTTTACAATGTACGATAAATAGATGGCAGCATAAACAAGTAGGCGCGCGTTCTTTGAACTTGAACAGAGAATGTGGATCTATTATGTACAATAATATCGATCCATAAATGGAAATTTGAGCCATTCGAAACTCCGTATCGTTGAAAGCGTTGGCCATCATCATTTCGTCAAAAAAAAACAATGTTACAATGTTTAAAGTTGAAAAAAATCTTCTTATTCTCCATTATAATTCTAGCAATTCTTTCGATTGTTTTCTGGATCATTCCTATGTCAAAAAATCAAGAATGTCACTTAAATTATCATCATCAACAACAACAACAAAAAATTTACAATCATATTGTTCAAAATCCAATTCGATTAAAATCCTGTAATAATCATACCAGCTTAATAATCATTGTTCATTCTGCATTAGATCATTTTAATCATCGACAAACGATAAGAAAATTCTTGCGTACAAATAGTGAAAATTGGTCAATAGTGTTCATATTGGGACAGCCATTAGCAGGTGATAAAACCTTGGAAAGAAAAATAAAATATGAATCCAATGTCAATGGAGATATTCTTCGTATGGCATTCGTTGATACTTATCGTAATCTTACGTTAAAACATTTATCCGGTCTATTTTGGGTGATTCAAAATTGCCATCATCATGATCGAATAATTTGGCTATTGAAAATGGATGATGATATTTTTATTGATAAAATTTTATTACAAAAATATCTAAAACATTTATCACAATCAGATGAACGAAAAAATCAAATATATTGTTATCGAATGGATAACACTGGTCCATTACGTGATCGAATGTCAAAATGGTATGTATCGAATGTTGAATATTCATCCAATCATTATCCATCATATTGTTCTGGATGGACATACATTACAACAATCGATACAATCGAAAAATTATTATGCCCATTAAATGATGATGATAATAATGATGATAATCGTCAATTATTTTGGATCGATGACATTTTTATCACTGGAATTCTTCGACAACATACTGGCATCAATTTGGTTGCTATTAATCATCTGTTCAATTTGAACACACAAACATTATATCGTTGGATCGAAAATCGTGGACAAACTAAATGGTTTTATATGTTTAGCCAGACTAACAATGATTGGCATCTGATGCATGATGCTTATCGTCAAAGAAAATTTTTTTAATAATAATTATTTAATCATTGCTATAAATAACAAAAAATTATTCCTTCTTTTTTTATTCAATTCAATGACATTTATGTTTTTTGAGCAATGTTTTTGCATCGAATCGGTTCATGTATGTAGATGGAACAATAACAACATTGTCATCGAACAAGAAGCAATCATCTTTTGGTGTTTGTTTGACAAACATTAACAAACCAGAAGCTGTTTCCATTTGTGGACATGTTTCCAAACATTTTTCGTTCAAGACGAATTCATAATTTTTGTTCAATTGTTGATCATCGTTTGATTTGAGCTCTTTTGTAACGTTAAATTTGAAACTATTTTCTAGTTCATCAAATTTGGTTTCGAAAACATGGCTGTAGTCGCAGATGCCTTCAAATTCATCATCGATATTATCGAAACATGTTGGACATGAGGTCGGTTTGTTTGAGCAAACATCGCTGACGTTGTATGATGATGCGTAATAATCCTCGAACAAGTTCGAACCACGGAATAATGGGAATTTTCGAATCAATGATCGTTTGTATGATGATGGCGCTGAATATCCGATTGCGACTGGAGCCATAGGTCCATATGTTGGCAAAATGGGAGCCGTAAGGTTGTACGATTCTATTTTTTTAGAATAGACAAGTTTTGGTGCAGGAGCAGCAGGAACAAAACTAGTAATGGTAGGTGTGTAAGCAGGAAGTTTGGTATAAGATGGTGGTGGTGGCGGCGGTGGGGAATAAGTGGGTTGTGGGGCATAAGGTGGTGGTGGTGGTGGTGGTTGGACATAAGTTGCTGGTGGTGGTGGTGGTGGCGGTTGGACATAAGTTGCTGGTGGTGGTGGTGGTGGTTGGGCATAAGTTGCTGCTGGTGGTGGTGGTGGTGGCGGTTGGACATAAGTTGCTGGTGGTGGTGGTGGTGGTGGTTGGACATAAGTTGCTGCTGGTGGTGGTGGTGGTGGTTGGGCATAAGTTGCTGGTGGTGGTGGTGGTGGTTGGACATAAGTTGCTGCTGGTGGTGGTGGTGGTGGTTGGACATAAGTTGCTGCTGGTGGTGGTGGTGGTGGTGGTTGGGCATAAGTTGCTGCTGGTGGTGGTGGTGGTGGTGGTTGGGAATAAGTTGCTGCTGGTGGTGGTGGTGGTGGTGGTGGTTGGACATAAGTTGCTGCTGGTGGTGGTGGTGGTGGGGGTTGGGAATAAGTTGCTGCTGGTGGTGGTGGTGGTGGGGGTTGGGAATAAGTTGCTGCTGGTGGAGAATATGGTCGCATTACATAAGTTGGCCGACTTGGTGGTGAATATGATGGCGGTGTTGGTGGTGATGCTGAGGCATAGACTGGGTTTGAGGAAGGTGGGGAATAAGTTGCAGTTGGTCCAGGTGGGATATAAACTACTGCTGGTACATTATAATTTCTGCTATCAATTGATGCTTCATTGGAATGATCGATTGATCTTCGATATGAAGAAACTTGGGGGTAGGCTGGTGGTGGGGATGCTGGAGCCGGATACGCTGGTCGAGGCGGTGGCGCGTAAACTCTCTGTGGCGAATGATTAGCATTTTTAGTGATTTCATAATTAATTTTGAGTAATTTGGGTGGATTGTATTTGGGTCCTTTAGAGTTAACACGATTATAGCCTTGATCAGGATAGACATCGGGCACTTGACTATACAGCTTATATTTGGCATCAAAATAACCGGTAGTCAATAATCCTGGAGGTTTTGTATAGATATTGTTATGTGCATATGAAATATCTTTCTGGCTATGTGGATAATCTGCCAAAGCTGCAACCGGAGATGGCAAATAATTTGGCTGCGAAAATCATATATGATAGAAATCAAACATCGATAATAGAATGAATAAATTTCCTTGTTTAACACACTCGCGTCGGGGTGATACTCACTCTGTTGATTAAATTTTTTTTTATCATCATCACTATATTCACTACAAATGCAGAATTTGTTTATTTAATTCCAATAATAATGATGCAGCTGATGATTGCCCCGGCGTAAGTGTGCTAACCCATAAACAACCCGAACGAAGAAAAAAAAATCTACTAAATTGAAATACTTTGAATACTTACCGCATTACGTGTAATTGTAGCCTGATTACCGTTGGCAATTAATTGTTGTAGTAATGCAATTGCAGCATCACGAGTTAAATTTGTTGTTCCCGATGGTTGAACTGCTGGCGGTTGTATCGTGGCATCAAATTTTTGCGGTTGTGTTTGATCTTGAGAATTCAACTGTTGATCTGGGGATAATTGTTGAACGGGCAATGATTGTGATGTTTCTGGCTGTGTTGTTTGTTGACCACTGACCAATTGTTGAACTTGTTCACCAACATTTTGAACAGTTGATTGAATATTGGCAGCTATTGAACTTAATGGATTGGTTGAAACATCGGAATTCGAAGCTCGTACAGCTGAACATTTACTTAGATCATCACAAGGACCCAATGATAACATTGCAACATGATCCAATGTAAGTAATTTTTGGTTTCATCAAAATTTTTCTTATCCATTATTAAACAATATTTTTCATTAAAATTTATGGAATCTGGACATTCAAATCGTGCTGCAATTTGAGGAGTTTGAATTGTTTTCATATTATCTGAACCATGTTTAACATCAAATGATTTCAATGTTAAACATCCATCTTGATTGACAAATTCAACTTCGGATACTATAAATATGAAAAAAATGAACAAAAATTAGAAAACTAATCCTCTTCGTTTAAAGTTAACTATACCAATGTTAGCGAAGCAGATCATATTTTTAAATTCATCTTGTGGTTTAACATTATAACATTGTTGTGGTTCAGGTGGACATGATGAAATTGATCGAAAAATACTGAAATCGAATTAAATAAATTAAATAAATACAAATTGATCAATGTAAAAACAAAAAATAAAAAACTTACTCGCCAAAACCATAAACGGTAGTGGTGGTGGTGGTGGCCAAAACGAATGCAAACAACGAGATAAACAACAATCGCATGGCCGAATATTTGAATTAATTAAAGAATGGCCAAAAAAAAGTAAAAATTATATTTAAAAAAAAAATACAAACAAGGTATTCGAATTTTATTCTTTATATTTATCCCGAATATCCAAACGATAATAATAATCAATAATGCTGAATTGACAATTACACAACCTCTTTTTTTTGGTAATTTTCGTTAACGTTGACTTTTATATACGATTGGATTATGAATTTGAAATTGTGATAAATTGTTGCTTAGTATCGGCATTTTTTTCTCGTTCATATATATATGCTTATTAAGCATTTCAAATGTAAAGAGAGAGAGAGAGAAAAAAATGTTGATCCAATTTTTTTTGTCTTCATTTCAATATTTTTTAGATATAACATTGTAATAATGCTGACCTAATCATCATCAATGCAAACATTGGCAGCACCGATAATCAAGATTCAAACAAAAAAAAATCTACAAATTTTTTCACAATTAAAAAAAAAAAAAATTCTTTTTATTTTGTACAAATGGAATGGAAAAAAATGATATTTTACATGTTTCAAATAGGATGAAAAACATAAGTTTCAATTATCAAGATTGGTTCGATTACGAATATTTTGTCGATGTAATGGTCTTTGTTTTCTTTGTTTGAAACCAATGTTTATGGTTTTATCATTTGTTGTTGATTGTTTCAATTTTTTTGTATCCAAACTTTCGACAGTTCGTTCTTCAAATTCAAATGCAGGGCGTTTCCCAATGCGTGATTCACGTTCTTCTTCTTGTTTGGTTTGTTCAATATCGGCTACGATTTGAGCTACATTTTGTCCAGGCAACTGTAGATCGACCATTTTGGATGTATCATATTTATCTACCGTTCTCCATCCACCGTATGGATCAATCCGATATACTCCTGGTCTGACATCATCATCATTATTATCATCCTTTGTAGATGGACCAGCCTGTTGAGCAGCCATTTTAAACTGTTCCTGCTCCAAAATGCTTAGAAATCCAGATTTTGGTGGATCTTTTCGTGTTTCCATTGTTTCTTTGTTCCAATAATAAGATTCACCATCGGAAGTTTTAGCTTCAAGCCATTTACTTTTCTTTTCAAATGATTTGGCTATAGTTTCGAGTGCACGTCGTTTTCCATTGGCCAGAGTTTGCGATTCAACATTATCGAAATCCTCACCAAACCTGTTGGTCGTAATAACTTTACTTTCTGGTCTTTCTGTGGATGGACGAATAATTTGAGATGCTATCGATTTGGTTGTAGCGAATTCCGATGTTAATGATGAATCACGGGATACGTCGTTCGCCTTGAACGATTTCAATGCAGCAGCTTCAATTTTGAGCATCTCATTTTGATATTTTTGCCGTTCACGTTCTTGAATGGAAGTGTTTTTTGGATCTATTTGATTTGAATGGATTAATAAATTATCGGTGATTCAATATTGAAAAAAATGACTTACATCATGAACTCTACGACGAACATTTGCCTGGTGACGAAATCCTCTTTCATGAAAATCTCGACTCTAAACAGATTGTAACAATTAAACAATGAAAATTGACATTAGAAAAAAAAATACTCACAGCTTTATTATCGGTGATCCAACATTTACAAAAATCACAATATTTTTTCGGTAATGATTTCCAATAATCGGCCATGATTAATATGATGATAATGAATTTATCAGCTGTTTGACCAGAATATATAATTATTTTGTTGTTATGATTTTTTACCATTTCAATCTAAACAACAAAAAGAACGGCTATTTAAACCTGATTAGAGTGATTGAAATTTCATTGAATTTTGCAATTTTGTGGGCGGTCAATGAAATTTTTCAATTTTTTTTTTTTTGGGATAAATTTTTTCTTCTATAAAACAAAAATAAATTTTCTAATAATTATGGGAAATTTATTCGGTCGAAGTAAATCACGAGCGGCCAAAGAATCAAAAGTTTCATCCACTGATCGTGCCATTCTGGTAAGTTTGACAATTTACCAAACATTGAAATTAATATGATATGATATGATATATTTCGAATAGCAAATTAAACAACAACGTGATAAAGTGAAAAAATATCAAAAACGATTAACAGCTCAGATTAATAATGAAGTGGAACTTATTCGAAAATTGGTTCAACAAGGCCAGAAACAGTAAGTCTAAATTTTACATCGCACAGTGATTCCAAGGTAACAAAAAATTGATAAAAATCCAATCCAGAAAAGCATTGTTATTGTTGAAGAAGAAAAAATATACGGAAAAAGTGCTGGAAAAAACGGACAATGAATTGATGACCATTGAAAATTTGATCATGGACATTGAATATAAAAATGTCGAACAAAATGTTCTGAAAGGAATTGAAGTCGGTAATGAAGCATTGAAAAAATTGAACGCCGTATTCAGTATCGAAAAGATTGAAGCATTGCTCGAAGAGACAGAAGAAGGAATTGAAAAACAACAGGTAAATCATTTTGAATGATCATAAATGATCAAATAATTTATATTTTAAATATTTCATTTAAAGGAAATAAACGAACTTATAACCGGTATTAAAGTTGAAAATGAATTACCCGATGATGATGAAGAATTGAATGAAGAATTGGAAAATATTCTTGGCCAACGAGAAAATCCAATTGAATTGCCTGAAGTTCCTGGTGAAGATTTACCTGAAATTGGTAAGTGTTACAGACTGATATACAAAAATCAATCAACAAAACTTTTTAATTCATTTTCATTCATTTAAACACAGAAAAACCAGAAAAAATCAAAGCAGCTGCTAATGAAAAACGGGAACGTTTATTGGTTGAAGCTCAATAGCAATGGAAAATGAATGTTTAAATTTTTTTTTTAAAGCCAACCATTTGTTTTATATGATGATACTGAATTATAAAGTTTCAGAGATTTTTTTTTCATATACTATGATTATAATCGAATTCGCTATACAACAACAACACGATAATCGAAAAATTCCATTAAATAAGAGATAAATTTTACATAAATCTTTTTTCGATTTTTACCCAAGAATATTTTGATTTCAATTCTGCATACTACTGAAATGACATCTGGTAGAAGTTGAAATAAATTTTAATGTGAAAGAGAGAGAGGGGAAAAAATAGAATTTATTATGATTTGAAATGATATTATCATTGTTTGTTATGTTTAATTTATATATTTTGTGCGGGTCAGGAAAAAAAATAAAGTTAAAAAAATAAAAGTCTAAACAGAATCAATGATGGCCACAAATGATGGGGAGACAGAAAAAAAAACAGAGAAAGGGTATGTGTGTATGGGAAAATTGTCAAAATAATAATCAAAGTTAGAAGAGAATCGACAAATGGAATGATCAATTATATTATGATGATAATGATGAATAAATGAAAGATTGAGTGTGTGTGTGTGTGTGTGTGTGTGTGTGGGTATTCACAAAGTGATAAATCTTCATTTCCGTTAATTTCAATAATAAAACGCACACGAATGATTGCCATTCAAACACAAGCAAAAGTGAACTTTAAACCATGATTCGTATGTGATGTCTAAAGACTAGTTGATTGAGTTGATATATAGATGTTGATGATGACGATGATATAGTTTGAGTATATTTAGATAGAATATATCAAAAAAAAAAAAATAAAAGTAGTGAGTAGTAAATGTGTATACACAACATGATGTGATAAGGAATGCATATAGAAGAAGAGGATCGGATTCAGATCGATTGATCTATTCAATATAAATGTTGAATGGTAAATAAGGTACTGGTTCCTGAGTATAGTAATCATAATCAACAGCTGTTGTGATCATATTCGTAACCGTGGCTGTTGTTTGATTCAACAATGTCGATGGTGGTGGCATTGGTGGCTGTAATGATGATGATGGTTGAAGATTTGAAGCCAATAAACGACAAGTAAGACCAATTCCAACGTTTTGTGTGGGTGAAGGCAGCCGTAAGGCTACAAATGGTGCCATATAGTTAATCTGTTTTTTGTACGGGAAAAATACAGATGAAAATCCTTGATATGGAGTAAATTCCATGGGTCCAATATTTTCAGCATCAAATTGTGTGTTGGCTAAAAGTGAAAAGAAAAAAATGAATTTAAATGAAAATTGAACAATTTTAAATGTAGACATGATTACATACTAGTACATTCCAATTCGACAACACCGGTAGTGTCTGATGTATCATTTGAGCCAGCATTTGGCATCCAATCGGTAATATTATTGAATACGATAAATATGCATGGGCTACCCGACATGTAGCCATAATCAGGTTTCAAACATTCACTGGCAATGGTATTCAAATCAAATAAACAGACCGTATCGTCTGGTATCGATGATCGATCATTAACAGCACAAAGTGATGCATTTATCGGTCGTCGATATGGTGCAAGAAATTCATCAATCTCTTTAACCATTTCCATCCATGATCGGATACCTGATTCTTTTTTCAGGTCACCATGACGATAGTAGATAAGGTTCGTAGGACCACGAGGTCGTGGAACAATTCGCAAAAAACGGTGAGTTTTATCGTCGTTCTATAGCAAAGAATAAATCAAGATTAAAATTCAAACTTTTAAAACATTAAACTTACATTAGCATTAAGAATCAACAATGTAATGATGACCGCAATAGCCAACAATAATAGAACACAACCAACAATACCAATGATGACACGAATTTTTTGATCTTGAAGCATTTCTTCAACATTTCCAAGATTTATAACGGTTCGTTTTGTATTCTGATTGGCTGCTTCGTTATCTTTTTCCAATGATGATAATTTTTCCTCTAGACCAGTCTGTTCTTTGCCGACATTATTTTCACCACCATTATTATCATCATTATGTTTCGTCAATGGTGTTGTTTCATCAGTTTTTGTTGATGATGAATTCATCTTTGAAAATTATAAATCGAATCGAATGAAATAATTTATTTTAATTAAATTTATTTTGTTTTGCAATCAAAAAAAACACTTACATCTTTGAGCGGATATGATTCATTTTTCTTGCCATTTTCTGTTTGTGATGATGCCATCTTGTCTACTTTTATTGGTTGTTGCTGCTGCTGCTGATGTTTCTGTTGACAAAGAAGATGAATGAAAATTTTAATATTTTTAACATACAAAACTATATTCAATGTCGAATTCAATCAAATCTATTTGTTCATTCAACAACAAATGGAAAAAAAACTGGATCACACACACACAAAGCCAGAAAGAAAAAAATTGGTCGATCATTAAGATCAATTTCCGTGCCACGACAATACACAATATAAGAACATTTTTTAAAAAAGAAAATCATATCCGGCCTATATATCTGAATTGGCAATGAGATATAATGATGATGATGATGATGATGATCACTTACAGTAGATATACACCATATATATAAAAACAAAAATGATAAATTTGTAGGCAAAGAAAAAAAATGCATCCAATCTAATGCACCTCTCCTCAGGGTATAATTTGTTTTCAAGTCAAAAAAAAAAAAAAATACCTATTTCAATGTATAAATTGATACAGTAAGTTGTAGATATGAAATTGGAAATAGTAATGATTATCAATTATTCACTATAGAATCATACGATTCATTTATTCACACATGATGATGATGGTGATGATATGAAGAAAGAAGTCAAAAAAAAATTGTGAACAATTGGGCCAGAAAAAAAAATCGATCGATATAGAGAAAGAGATTATCTCGATATCGCAATCTAAGTACACTTGTATAAAATGTGCATAATAATAACAATAATAATCATTATCAGAATCAGAATCAAAACAAGGTCACAATGTTGATTCTATGAAATGAACACACGCATATATACACACACACATGCACGTAACACACAACACAATGACAATTTAATGACGAAATTTTTTTCATGGATCGATCCACTAAGAATCAGTAACATACAAAAACAAAACAAAAATAGAAGCCAATGATGATGATGATCACAAAATCACACACACAAAAAAAAAGAAATAAAGATAAAGATAAAAATAAAACCACAATTGGTGGACCGTTACCTTTTCACTTTATTCCGGTTTATTTTAGGACAAGAAATATATCCTCCTCACAAATGAATGAATGAATGAATGAATTCAAATACGATCGATTTTTATTGTTATTTTTTATTATTTATTATTTTAGGGGTGAACACAACTGAACTCTGACCGAAATGTATGCAGAAAAAAAACAAACGAATAACAAAAAAAAACGAAACGAAAAAAATTCGATGAAAACTCTAACAAAAAAGGGCGGTGGCTTATCAGTGGTAGTAGCAATGGTTATAATGGACAACGGTAGTAAATAAAGATCCATGATGATCATCTTGATATACTACCACCACTACAACATTGATATTGATGATATGAAAAAGGGGAGGCTGTTCAATCTGTGGCTTCTGAAATAATGAGAGAAAAAAGATTGTTAATCGGTGGTGACTCACTCACAAACACAAATTCGAATTTTATATGCGCGGCTTGTTATTTGTGTGTTTTTTTTTTTTAGAAAAAAGGTATCCGATCCAAATGACATCCGATGATTTCGTACTTTTTTTTATCGTTTTCTCACTCAAAATATACATTGTGTGACATAATCAACGTGTCATTTTTTTTTTTTTTTGCTGAAAAATTCATCCATCAGTCGGATCTAACATTCATTGGGAGAAAATGACAATAGATCCATTGAACAATTGAAAATATGAGTGTGATTAAAGGATTCGGATTTAATATTACACACACACACACATCTGTTCGGCTAAAAATAAAACATCCTGACCGTTTATTTTTCTGTTTCAAATGATGGATTTTCATACATTCCGAGAACTCTTGAAATTTTTTTTTGTTTTCGCATTGAAAACCCACTTTATAAACAATGATGATGGAACATGTGTTTTGAATACCATGCCATGCATATTGATTTATCGAATTCTATCATATGTGTACCAGCCAATGCCACACCAGGAACACAAACACGCAAACTGATTTTCATATTATATAGAATATCATATGGATTCTTACATTATTGGATCGTTTTTTTTCTAATGGATGGATGAGTGTTGACCTCATATTGTTGGGTAGAAGTGGCAATTTGGGTATATTTACCAATGAAATGAAAATTTTGATTTTTTTTTTCTTATCAAAATCAAAATCTGTGATAATCACTAAGAATTATTATATTGTAATGAATTAGCTTAGATAATTTGTGTCTGTGTGTGTGTGGGTGTGTGTGTATGGAGTTACCATGGACAATTATCATCATCATTGCATTTCGGATTTTTTTTTCACAATAATCCGTTTGTTTTTTTTTTTGTTTCATTTGAATAACTAGAATCGAATCGAATCGATTTCATTATGTTACGTTATCGTTGTTTATTTTTGATTTGTGTACTATTAACCATTATATTTGTTATTACCATTAATACATCATTTCGTTGGCATCGAATCCATACAACAATGATATTACCATCTAATAATGGTAAAAGAAAGTTGTCGATTAAAAATGATGATCCAGATTATGATCAATTTTTAATGTATCAGATGGTTAAAACAACAACAACAACAATAGCACCAACCAACCAGTTCAATATGAATCAATTATCTGATGACAAAAAAAATTTGAGTAAAAATCAATTATTTCATCATTATTCATTACCATTAGCTATCATCAATGATCAATTACCTTGGTTCATGCCTAACGGTACTATAAGACCATCATCATCTAGTGATAATTATAATAATTTAATATTATGGCCTGAACAAATGACCACTGATGATGATACCGGAATGAATGATCGTATTGTCAATCAATTAATGTTTATGCCAAACGGTTATGATAAGAACCATTACTATCCAAAAGGTAGAAAACCATTGAAAAAAATTTTACTTGCATTTGGTAAACAAAGTTGGCCTGGCCTATCAATGGGACGACAACGTTTTATTGATGATCATTGTCCAGTAGATGCTTGTTTCATTATGGCTAATAAAGCATTGATTGATCAAGCTGATGCTGTTATATTTAAAGATCGTTTTATATGGCCATCAAAAGGACGGCCATCAATGAAACAAATATGGATTCTATTTTTACTTGAATCACCATTACATACACAGGTTTTTTCTAGTCTTCCAGCCAATGTGATCAATTGGACAGCTACATATCGTCATGATTCAGATATTGTTGCACCGTATGCAAAATTTTTTGCCTACAATAATAATAATTTCAAACATCAAACGGTAAGCCAGATAATTGATGATTTTGTTCTTGCTAAAATTCATTGAAAATTGTTCAATAGAAAAATTATGCCAAAGGTAAAACGAAAAAAGTCGCTTGGTTTGTATCGAATTGTGGTGCAAAAAATAAACGTCTAGAATATGCACGTGAATTATCACGTTATATCGATGTTGATATTTATGGAAGGTATGTATGATAGATATAGACTGGAAATAAAAAGAAATTCATTTGTAAAATTTTTTGTTTTCTTTTTTACATAGCTGCGGTCAGCATAAATGTCCACGTATGCAAGCTAATGAATGTTTTGATATGTTGAATAAACAATATAAATTTTATCTTGCATTTGAAAATTCCAATTGTCGTGATTATATAACGGAAAAATTTTTTCTCAATGGTTTGGGTGAAAATCGACCAGATTTCAATATTATACCAATTGTAATGGGTGCACATCCAAATGATTATCACCGTTCATCGCCACCAAATTCTTATATTCATGTAGATGATTTTGAATCACCATTACAATTAGCTAAATATCTACAACGATTAGATGAAAATGATGATGAATATAATCGTTATTTTGAATGGAAACAACAAGGAATATTTATTAATACTTATTTTTGGTGTCGTTTATGTACATTATTACATGCAAATGATAATGAACAACATAGAAAACCTATTGATAGTTATGAAAATATTCATCATTGGTGGACATCAACAAAAACATTTATCAATGATAATAATAATAATGATAAATTACAGCCAATTTGTATGAAAAATACCATTGAACATTGGCCAATTCAGTAATAACAACAAATAATACATCATATCATCATATGAACCATATTTTCTATTTTTTTTATATAAAAAAAACTTTGAATTTGTCCAGATTAGTCCAAAAATTAATCAAACAAACAAAAATACAAAAATTAATCAAACAAACAAAAACCAATGGCTGTGATTTTATCTAATAATAATAATAATAATTGAATTTATAATCAATAGATGGTATCAATTTTTTTTCTCGTTGATTTTATTAATTATTCAAAAGCTTAATTTTTATTATTATTGTTGTTGTTGTTGAAATCAATGAATTAATAAAAATTATTCATCACCGAAAAAAAAAAGAAAACATGAAAAAAATATGGAAAAAAAACAATACAAATATTTCATTGAAAGCAATGAGGTAAAAGGCAGAATATATGATGAATAAATATTATTATTATTCGTTTGATCGATTGATTTTTGAAAATGATTTTGGATTAATGTTTCTCTTATATATGTGTGAAAATGATGAAATTTATGATTTACGTTTGAAAAAATATAATGCCACTAAACCAAATACAATTGTAGTGCCAACATTGGCCAATAATCCATGTAATACATGAAAACGATCCAGATTCCAACCACGTAACATTACATTACGTAATGATTCTACGGGCATTGCAATAGGTGTTATACTGAGAAAAAATTTTATAACCGGATCAAATGATACTATTGGGAAAAATGCACCACTTGTGAATAATTGACTCAATGTAACCGATAAGGCGATGAAAAATGCCGAGAAATTTACTTCACATGTAGCCGATATTAGTAGTCCTGTGAATGATTAATTAATTTGTAATTAAAAAAAAAATTGAATGAAATGTTTTTACAACAACATCAACAACAACAACTTACCAGTCATGATGGCACTTGCCGATTGTAATAAAACAAGAAAAAACATAAGCAAATAGGAACCAAAATTATTCATCTTATACCAAGCGAAACCAATTAAAAACATAAGAAGAATCTGAAAAAAAGCAAACAATAGATTGGCTATGAAATGTGAAAAAAACATAAGTGAATGTTTGGCTCCGGCAACAATAGCACGATCGAAGAATCCATCATTACGTTCCATGATCAATAATTGTGATGTGATTGTAACTAATGCTAGATATAAGAAACCAATCATGTAACCAGGTAATAAGAAATCGGCATGTATTATATTATCAGCATAGACAACTTCTTTTACAACCACAGGTGATGCTATAGCTACTTGGCCTTCATCACGAAATACCTGATTATACAATTCCCAGGTACCAAAAGTGAATAAATCCAATAATGGTCTAGCAATAATGGCATTTGCATTATCGGCAAATAATTTGATTGTACTAGCCATCAATGTTCGATTACTGATAGTCATTGGATCTTCTTCATCATTTTCGTTATCATATTCAGCTGAATCATCATCAGCATCATCATTATGGTTATAAGAATCAGCATTAACTGCGGCCAGCGCACGTTTAATCAAAGCGGATGAAAAATTCGATTGAAACCAAATGGCTGCCGTTGCATGACCTTTCCGTACTTGATCGACAGCCTCATCAAGTGAATCAAATTGAATGTAATTAATATGATAAAGGCTAAAATTCTTAACATGATTCTGAAATTCTTGGCTATAATGACGGCCAACATCTTGATTAAAAACGGCTGTATTTAATCGAATCATATCCACTTTGAATATGATACACATCAATAATGTACAGAATGTTGGTGAGAATACCATAACGCTGATGAATTTTGATTGAAAAAATTGATAAATATTACGTCGTACTAGAATAAACAATAACCATAATAAGGATTTTGTATTCAATTTAACATTCAATTGATTCTCATCGATTGTTGATGATTTACGGCGAATATAATTCGGTACGACTAGAAGATGGTTATTTGTATTGGTATTATTAGCAATACTATTTCGTTTATATGGTAAAAATGATGATAATTTTCTTTGTGTATTTTCCACTTTATCTTTGATTTCATTTTCCGTTGGTTTCTGTGTACAGATATGTATGAATATGGTTTCCAGATTTGTTTCCTGATATTTATTATATAATGTTTTAGGCATTCCTTCTTCAATCATTCGTCCACCACGCATCATACCAATACGATCGGCAAGACTTGCTTCTTGAATATAATGTGTAACAATGATTACAGTTAAACCATTATCAGAATTTTTACGAAGAAATGTCCATATTTGATCACCCAATACTGGATCAGTACCAACAGTTGGTTCATCAAGAAATACTAATTTTGGTGAATGAAGAAAAACCAATGCCAATGATAGGGCTTTTTGTTGGCCACCGGACAATGTTGATACAACTTGTTCATCATCGGGAAGGCAAAAAATTCTTTTTAGATTATCGCTTCTATAAAAACATATTGAAAAATTTAAATGTAAACAATAATGATTGAAATTTCCATAAAATTAAAACAACTTACATTTGTGAATATTTTGTTTCACTAAGCTGATAAAGGCTGGCAAAATAATCAAATGTTTCACCAATGGTCAATTCTGGTGATAATGCCTGTGATTGTGGCATATAACCAATAACACGATTATAATGGCCAGGTTTATTATTACCAAAAATTTCGATTGTACCATGTTCATTTTTTATACGACCAAGCATTAAACGTAATAATGTTGTTTTACCTGAACCACTTGGTCCTAATAGTGCATATATACAACGTTTCGGTACGGTCATATGAATATCTTGTAATACGTTTGCCGTATGATATTTAAATGAAACATTTTTCACTTCAATAGCAATATCACGTTTATCCATGATTGTTATTGATGATCGGTGATGATGCTATTAATAATTTATATAATTCAGGTTCTATCATCAAAACAACAACAAAAAAAATCAGAAAAATTAAACACAAATGCAAATTGATAAATTGGTTTCAAAAAAAAAAAAAAAAACAAAAGACACGAGGACACACAAAAAGTTAAGAAATATAAAATGAAATGAAGAATGAAATATCTGTGAATTGAACATAAAAAAAAATTCGAACACACCATATTGACACACACACACACACACACACACACAAAAACTGGCGAATTTTAGATTCTCAATAAAAAACAGACATGAAACATACAAACCTGAATATATGATATGCTTGTGATAATGAAATTATTATTATTACTACTGTTTCAAGAGAGAGAGAGAGGAATGGAATGGAATGGAATGGAAAAGAAATATCGTTCAGCCTTGAAATATGTCTTGAGGGTATTATTTTTAATGGAACATAAAATGAAACAGAAAATAAAAACATTTATTGATTGATAACAACCGGTGGATAGAATCATTTTTTGTTTTATAAATCGATCAAACAAACAAAACAAAACAAAACAAAACAAAAATAAATTCAATGTTAACAAAGTTTGGAATTTGAAAGAATTTACAGGAAAATAAACAAATAATAATAGGAATAGGAAGAGGGGGAGGGTAATAAAAATTGTTTCATCGCTAATCAACAAACAAACAAACAACACACACACAAACTATTATTATTACTTTATATTCTCAATGCTATTCATGGAAATAATCTTGAATCAACAATTTGATGGTTATTAATTAATTTCAAGTTCAATGATGATAATAATAACGGTGACAAACAATCAAACGACAATGATAATGATAATGAATGTTGTTGTTGATGATGATGATGATGAAACGCTTTCAATTTGGACATTGAATTGCTTTTTTTTTTTTTTTTGTTTTTGAATGTTGTTTGTTGTTGGTGGTTGCTGACTGTTTGTTGTTGGAATGGAATATTATTCATTCATTCATATCAGTAATGAAATCCAATCCAAAAAAAAAGACATCATTTAAACGAATCGCAACAACAACAACAACAACGACGATGATGATGATATCAAGGTTTTGGACTGTTCATTTTGATGATTAAAACACACAAACAAACACACACACACACACACACATAGTGAGATTTGAATTGCAATCAAGACATCAATGATTTTTTTTTCATTAAGATAGAAAAATTGAATTGTTCAAAGAGTCATAAATGAAAATGACATGAGCAACGAAAAAAAAAGCGAAATCAGAGACAGAGAGAGAGAGAGAGTGAGATCAGATTGGAAAACAACAAAACAGCAACAGGGGAAAAAAATGTTTTGTTTGAAAGTGTTGATATTAATAATGGAAAAAGGCGAATTTTTTTCATTGTAATAATGAAAAAAAAATCGAATCAGTTTTCATTTCGATGATGAAGTAGTGAGTAGAAAAATAGATTATTTGTTTGTTTGCTAATTTTAGTTTGATAATAAACATATAGATAGATTGATTATGATTTTAATAATTTCCAAATGGAAAGGAAATAGCTGATTAATTAATAAATCATTTGTATTTTGATTTTTTGATTTTTGTTTTTTTGGTAAATGAATGAATTTTCTTCTATATAAAAAAACAAACAAACAAAATGTACCAGGTTATCGAAGGTCACCGACATGCCAATATGTTGTATTCTGGAAATGATAATTTTTGATTTCATTGAATTATTAATATTTTCGCAGAATTTTATATTGATATCATCCGTTATTTTTTTGTTTTTGATTATTTTTTTTGGTCATTTTCAATTATCAATCAATCAGAAAATCAATCATTCGTTCGATCGATCTGATGATTTATAACAATAAATAGGAAAAATATCTTTTTTTTCAACATTAATCAAACTAGAAATGAAAGGATGAAAAAAAAAATTACAATCACAAATAGGATAGACCGGAAAATTATGATTGACGATTAGATCTAATTGATTAATCGAACGAACAAAAAAAAATTGGAGAGGATGATGACGATAATGAAACCGGAAATGGTCCAATATCTTTTTTTTAAATTTAACACTAAATAGTTATAAAGTAAATGGCCAAATATGTTTATTGTCGATAAATATAATTAAAATTTGATGTTGACGGTGATGTTGTTTATTTATTCAAATAAACACAAACAATGGACATTTTGAACATATAATGAATTAAGGTAAAAAAAGGTAAAAAGAGAATGAGTGATGAAAAAAAAATAATTAAACAATACAAAGTATTTATGATCATCATCATCATCATGTGTTGTTATTGACAAATAAAAGAAAAAAAAAAATTCTCACCATAAACTCAACAAATTCACTAAAGGTTATACAAACACACACACACACACAGACACACAAAACACGTGTCAAACAAACATATATAAAAAACCAAAACCGGATGAATTAAAAAAATTTTCATATCAAAATTTTTTTTTGATTTTTAATTTATTGATATGATAATGACATATACGCCTACAATAATTCATTATCGTCATCAACACCATTGTTCATCATCATCATCATCATCAAATAATCATCTATCAATCAATCATCAATAAAACTATTTGATGGTCAATTTTGGAGAAGAATGAAGAAGAAGAAAAAAATTGTTGGCAAATAAATGAAATTTTTTTCTTTTTTAAACGAGAATTTCGAATACGGATGTTTGAACAATAATCGAATGCGAATGAATGATGTACAATTACAATCGATAAAAAAAAGTGAGGGGGGTAATAATAATCGATATTGTTGTGTGAAATTATCTGCTTCTAAATATAATAATTTACAGAATTTTTTTCCTAATTTATCATTTGACTATAATTATGAATATAATTATAATAAAGTAAGAAAAATAATACCCAATAATAATAATTATTCAATGGACAGAATGAAAAAAAAAAAATTCTACCAATCAACAGGTTTTTGCATTTTGCATTTTTTTTTTTGAGTAAACACATCACTCATTCAATCTTCATAAAAAGAAAAAAAAAAGATTGACAACCTGAAAAACAACCAAGAGAGAGAGAGAGGGGAGATGGAATCTGACACTTATCCCGATGATGGCCATCAAAAAAATGTATTGGTGGTAGTGATGATTATCATCATGATTATTATGATGATTATCATTGTGAAGGATTGCAATAAAAAGAAAAAAAAATGTTGAATATTTATCCACATATTATCTATGCAAACATCATACACACACACACACACACACACACAATTGACATTTTAAACATGAAAAAATTGAAATGAAAAAAAAACAAAATTCAACTTTTGTTTTCGTGTAATAGAATAGAGAAAAAAAAATTGTGAAAGAAATTGATAAGAAAAAAAAAAAAAAACTTACAATTCAAAATGGGAAATCTTTCCGGAAAAATATATAACCACATTCGAAATGAAGAATGATATTCAAAGGAAATTAAAAAAAAAAAAATCTATCAACAACGACACTTTATAATCAAATAAATTAAAAATTCTTTTATCGATTATAATCAATATAAGGATTATCATGAATGTCAATCACAAAAATCACGATGATGATAATGATGATGATGATGATGATCGATTGATAGCTGATTTAAAATATCAAGAATCAGATTATACATTCACATTTCACATAATGTAAAGGTTAATTTATAAAAAAAGGAAATCATTCAATTCAAATTCAACAGATAAAATGCATATATAAAAATGTATGTGTGTGTATCATATAATCGTCATCATGGTCAATGTCAAAAAAAAAAAAAATTTTTTTTCTTAAGAAAACATCGAACACACACACACACACAAAAATCTCCTTATTGATGATGCCAGTTGCTGATAATGATCATATTTCAAATCTTTTATATTGAATGTAACCAAAAAATGATGAATAAATTCAAATTGAACGAATGAACAAACGAACAAACGAACGAACGAACGAACGAACGAATTGAATAAAAATAAAATCGAATCACTGATGGTTATAATGATGACGATGATGACGAATATATTGGATAATTTAATGTTTGATTTTTCAAACCAAGTTATTTTTAGCATCAAAGTGTCCAGTCGCACTCACACACACACACACACACACACACACACACACACACACACACACACACACACACACACACACACACACCTTAATTATCTCATACCACAGAATACACAGATCACAACTAAGTAATAATTTTTATTATTATTATCCTCAAGGTATGATTCGTATGATTTTTTTTCTGCTTTTGCTTTTTTTTTACTGATGTTGATCATACTTTTTTTTTGTTTCTACTTTCGGATATATAGATTCATTATATGACTATCATGAAAAATAAAATGAAAAAAAAAAAAAAAAATGAAACAAAAACAAAAACCGGTATTCTCAATGGAATTCAAAAAAAAAATCATTTCATTTCATTGAAATCAGATGATGATCATCTGGCGCAACAGAGTACAAGATTAATGGAACAAGTTTTTTTTAGCAGCAGCAGCAGCAACAACAATTTCCAACAAAAATCGATCAAACAATCACCATTGTTGTTGTTGTTGTTGTTGACCAGAATTTATCAGTGAAAAAAAAAAAAATTTTTTTGTCATAAATACCTTTTTTTTCTTGTGATAAATGAAAAATTTTCGTTTTTTTCTGCTTATTATTAATTGATTGATTGATTAAAAAAAAAATTTTCGATAGAATAAGATTGGAATGTCGCTTGATTAGCTGAGGAAAAAAAATAAATGATGATGATGATGATGATGATGGTTGATTGAATCGAATCAAATCGAATCGAATGGATGCACACGATTCATTTCCCGTACATCATAATCATCAATTCTTAATAATAATAATAATAATAAATTGTTCACTGTGACAAAATGTGCTGATGATGATAATGATGAACGTTTTGTGTGTGTGTGTGTGTGGTTGTCTCTGTTTTTATACTGGATGGGTACAAATCAACCATACACACACACACACAAACACAATATTTTATTTTGGATGCAAATAATAATGACGACAACAAGTATTATTTTATCAATATATTCAAATATTTAGATAATAAAATAATAGAGATGAAAAAACATTCACAACTGATGATGATGATGATGATGGAAATGATGGAAATGACCACTTGTTTTTATGATTGTATACAAAATGATCAATTCTTTCAACACTAGGTGTTTTTTTTTTTTTTTTTTGGATAAACACACCAACACACCAACAAACACTAAATATGTATTCAGCATTCAGTAATGATTTTTTCGTTGATTGCAATTTTCATTTTATTATTGAAAAAAAATTCAAAAAAAATGAAAAATGAATATCTACATTATAGTATTGATAAATGATGCAATTGCATATGATGCTGAATCATTTATGAAACACACAACAGGCATGCACATGTATAATATGTTTATATATCCACCAAGTAAAACAGCGACAATATCAACAAAACAAGAAATAAAAAAAAAAAAATTCATCAACAAAATATTTTCCGGATGATTGATGGATCATCAAGAAATGAATTTATTTGTTTCATTTTTTTTGTTGGATGGATGGATATTATTTCACCATCATCATGATGATGATTATTGACCATTTGGTAAACAACAAGTGATCATCATAATCATCATCATAATAATCATCATTGGTCAGATTTCATTCGTATCGATTTTTTTTAGTGTGTGTGTGTGTGTGTGTATGTTTAGTTTTTGTCGTTTGAAATATTCAATGTTGATCACAATTTCAATATATATACAGTGTATAGATGAATTGATTATGCATGATGTGTTTTTTGGTTTTTGACAAGCTTATAGTATATGATCTTTATTTTTAGCATAATTATATATGTATATGTTGATGATGATCAGATGATAAACGAGTTTCATTTCATTTTTTGATGTTTTTCGCTGTTGTTGTTGTTGTTGTTGTTGCTACTATTGCAACAAATAAAGAGAGAAAGAGAGAGAGAGAGAATTTTCAGTCGACAACAACAACAACAACAACAAAAATTCATGCTAATTGAATAAAGAAAATCGATACATTCAATTGAGAATCAATCAATCACAAATCATTGTAGGGGGGTTGCGCACATTATAAATATATATATGTGTAAGAAAAAGAAAACATGTGTGTGTGTGTGTGTGTGTGATTTCAATAAAAACGAAATAAAAACAAAAAATTTATTGATTACTTCTGATGAGTTTTTTGTGTGTGTGTGTGTGTGTGTGTGTGTACGTGTTTCAAACGCTATAACAAAATGAAAACGGAAATAGATTGCTGTTGACATTGACAAGAATTGAATGCGAGAGAAAGATGGAGATGGATAGAAATATTTAAATTCAAATTTAATTTCAAGAATAAAGATTAACAATGATGGGGAAATGAATAATTTTTTTTTGTTTTGTTTCAATGTGTGGACACCAGAAAATGAATGACAATGGTGGTTGTGTGTGTGTGTGTTTTAAAATCAATGGGTGTTCGAATGATAAACGATGATTTTTTAAAAAAAATTGAAAAAAAATCACTTTGTTCACATTGGTCACACACACACACACACACAAACACTTGTTGTATGTTTTTTTTTTCATTCATTCATTTATTCTTTAAATGATGATGATGATGATGATGATATTATCATCGATAGTCAAAATTTTTTTTTTTTTTTTTCATTGACCATCAATACACACACACAATAGTCGATGATCATCGACCGTGACAATGTTAAGAAAGAAAAAAAAATAAATAAAATACAAACATCAACTACAACAGCAACAAGTGTGTATTGTTCACCAAAAAAAAAAAAAAAAAAACCAATGTGGCCAAACACAGACAGCAGAACAAAGATTTGAATTTCTCACTTTGTTTTTTTTTCAATCAGTAAAAAAAAACAATAAATAAACAAAACACCAAATACGAGAGAACCGCAAATGAGAGAAACAATTCATAATTGAGGACGATATCAATGGATCATTTTTTTTCGCATATTTTGAAACAAAAGATTTTCATCATGGAACAACAACAACAACAATATTATATTGTTCGGTGTTTTATGATGAAATAGAAAAAAAATACATATCTTTTTTTATATGAAATAATCATCAATGGCCGTTTACATTGTAGTTTTTCTCTTTCGTTTACCTTTGTTTTTTTTACTTTCGTTTGTTAAATTGATCATTATCATCATCATTGGTTTTGTTCTAATCATTCAAAAAAACATTGAAGATGATGGCAAGAAAAAAAAATTCCAGCCTTAGGGCCAGAAATATTTGAAATATTCAACAAAAACACAAATAATTTGACGGTTGGTTTGTTGTTGTTGTTGTTGTCGTCGTGGTTGTTGTTGTTGTTGTCGTCGTGGTTGTTATTGTTGTTATTGTGAATGATTTATGTTGAATAATTATTGAACATAACCAATTAATAATTATTTTTCTTTTTTTTTTTGTTTGATCAATAACCAATTAATTTGATGTTTCTTGTATCATCATCAAACTACCTTACCTACCTGTCTTTTTTTTTTATTATTATTGTTGTAATGGTCGATTAATTCGAATTATAATAATGATGATGATGAAAAAATTTGTTTAACATCAGATACAACCACCACACCTACACATTTGTGAAGCAGGATTAGTAGTAAATAGTGGTAGTAGTGGTTCTGGACAATTAGTTATTTGATTGATTTTTTTATGATTAAAATTTTTTTTTTTTTTTTGATCATTTGAATAAAAATAATGACGATGTGTTTGCACAATTCGATTGAATGGTACTCATAATAATACCACTATATATTGAACAACATAAAGATAATAATAATGAAAACAATAAAGATTCACAATGAAGATGAACAATCATCAAATATAAAACTAAGAAATTGAGAAAAAAAACAAATCCGGAAGAACTCCATATCAATATCTATCTAGCCATCTCTCTTTTTCTTTCTTGTGTATATATAAATGATGATGATGAGATCCAGGAACAAAATTTAATCTTTTTATGAACACAATTATCCAATGGAATGGAATGGAAAACAAAACAAAAAAATCTGAAAACAATTTTTTCCATGAATTTTCAGGAAAAGTAAAAAAAAAAAAATAATGAGCTTGATGTAGATGAAATCAGAAAAGTTAATTTTTGTAATTTTAAGACTGAAAACAAAAATTATCTTTACCGTAATGACGATGGAGATGATAATCAAAGCGATGGTGGTAATTATGATGATGATGATGATGATGATGAAAAACCATTTCTATAGTGGATTTACGACAATTATTGTCCAGAAACGTTCACATAGGCAAAAAAAAGGGAGAGGTTAAGAAGCAAAGTATTAAAAAAAATTATGGTGGCCACTAGATTGAATTTAACCATAAAATTTTTTGCCTTACCCTTAAATTTTCAATTTCAATCAAATTGAGAATTTTGAATTTTTTTTTTTATTTTCTTAATCATTTTTAGTACAAGTATGGCCATCTAGTGTCATGTGATTTTTTTATATTAATTTTAACGTTTAGGCAAAAAAGGAGAGGTTTTTTCATTTTTATTACTCAGAGAATTTTGAATAAGTAGTTGAGATGAAGTTTTTTTTTTTTGATCATTTTTAAGTGTGTATTTAAGTTGAAAAAATTTATGAATTTTCATTGATTTGTTTCCTATTAACGATCTTCAATATCGGACGAATGGATAATCAACAACATAATAAGAAAACTGGAACACGATCAACGCCAACAATCAAAAATCGTGAAATATTACGATCAAAATCATTGAGTGATTTACGTTCAAATGGCAAAAAACGATCGTCCAAAAAAAGTCTTGGCTTTCCTACCAAACAGAAAACACCGGCAAGTTTACCTAAAAAAAGCCTAAGTCGATCGGAATCACCTAAATTAACTGAATCAATGAAAGAAATGGCCAAAGTATTACAACAATGTCCATTAAGTAATTCCGAAGAGATGAGACGATTACGTTCGATAGAAAAATTGGCTAATCGAACAAGTTCATCATCGTTACGTCATAAAGATCAGCGAACAAAATCGATTAGTAAACATCAACCACAAAGGAAACCATCAAGCGAACAAAATGTAAATCTTTGTGAACGTGAAGCATCAACTGCTTGTCAGATAAAATTGGCTTTATTGCGTAAAATTGATGCAAAAACAACAACTACAACAACCAGTAGTAGTAGTCATCGTAAACGAAATCGTAGACCAATGAATGAACAACAACAATTACTACGTCCTGGACAGGGTATTCTAGAACGTGCACAAAAAGCTGAATGTACATTGTATGGCCTGAAAGTTGTACGTGAAACAATGACAAAAATTCTAACACAATCAAAACAGGAACAAATACGTAAAAATCCACGAACATTGGAAAAATATCGTATCCTGTTATCGGAACCATTCAATCAGATGTCAATAATAATGGATCATTTAGGATTAACCGGTGCATTCGGTATCACCAAGGAACATTTGGATTTATTTCAAAAATATCCTGTCCGTTGTTTCATTAATGTTACATATGAATTGCCATTATTTCAACCAAATGATTGTGAATCATATCGGGTACCAGTTGCCGATGATAAAGATGAAGATCTTAGCCGCTATTTTGATGATGTTACGGAAAAAATTGAACAAATACATCGCCATAATCATGCAACTATTGTACATTGTATGGCTGGTGTATCACGGTCAGCATCATTCATAATTGCTTATCTAATACGTTATCAACGAATGACAATGAAAGAAGCATTTGAACATACAAAACGTTCACGTTCATGTATTAATCCAAATATTTCATTTCTTGAACAATTAGTACAATTTGAACAAAAATGTCATGATAATAATCATCATAATAATCGTAATAATAAATCCATGATGACAAAAATGATTAAACATTCAATGAATGGTATTGAAAAAGAATTGCCAGATTTTATTATCGATAATTATCTAGATGAATATCTACATGAATTTGAATTGGATTAATATAGAAACAAAAAAAAATTAAATTACACACCCATTACACATTTACATCAATCACATTAATCTTAATAAATCGATCATTTGACAATGATATATTAATATAATGATTATTGATTATGAATTTAATTCAATTAACTTTTTGTTGTTGTTGTTGATGAAATGTTTTTAACAAAAAAAAAATTAATTAATTAATCAATTTTTTATTCGAAATAATCAAATGTTACAATTTTCTTTGTCATTTGGTGATTCCTATTTCATTCAATCAATATATATGTTCAATGATATATCACATCATACATTCGATTCTGAATTCAATATCAGCTGTTTTTCTTTTACATTCATATCGAATTCTGGTAGATTGAATTTTTTCTCATTTGTTTCATTATCATTATTATCATTTTTTGTTGTTGTTTTTTCTGAATTCATTATTGGCTGATTAATTAACCAACAATTTTTAAGATAATCAAGAAAATGTATTAGTGGACTTTCAACCAATACGGTAAAAATGAAACCAAATAAATATGAAATGACAATCGATGATGTTAACAAAGAAAATATGGCCGTCATACGCATATCAATAAGATTACGTCTTGATCCAAGAGCAACATAGAATACGAGAACATGTGTTAGATATACTGAATATGTCATACGTGATAATGGACGAAATACTTTCCATGAAAGAATACTGCCAATAAATGTACCATTATTAGTGATACAAAGCCAAATTATTAATGTTAATACCAATGCCCATATCGTACGATTCAATGGATAAAGAATAGCCGACCAAAATGGATCATATGGCCGACCATAAAGCCATGGTGATGTACTATAAATGCAGAATAGATAACCAGAAAAAGCTAATAACCAGCATAGATATTTTGTACTAGTTTTCATTGTCACCATTTGACGCCAATCCGAACGTTCATGTAGTTTGGCACCAAAAATGAAACCAATAAAAAATACATTTGCATGATTCCATGGTTGATAGAAAAATTTTAAAAATTCACTTGGTCGACCAAATTCATCGAGAAAATCACTGTCAAAAAAAAAAAAAAAAATATGAAAACTATAATAATTTCATTAAAAAAAAAACAAAGCTTACTTTTTAATCGTAACTACACCACCGGGTGGATGTTTCTTAATGAAAACAGTTAATGCACTGATACAAATACAGACTAGTATGACACATTTGGTGACGAGCATACCTCGTCTTGGATATCTTAATAACATTCCAATTAAAATAACTGACATATAATGTAGTTGCATATCGGCAGCCAAATACCATGTATGAAGAGCGCACTTTTTGTGAAAAAAATAAACAAAAAAAAATTATTCAAATAATCTTTGGTTGTCTATACGAACTTACAATATTTTGAACATCGATTATATTCTGTACATAGAGAAGATTATGCCACCATGTTATCGAACATTTATCAATGACAATATTCATATAGGTTGACCATAATGGACCATCATATAATGGTGGTAATAGGCTCAATAATAACATGAATGCTATCAATTGTGGTGTTAATCGAAGATAACGTAAAAATGTGTATGGAATATAACGGAATTTTCGATAATCATTTTGTGTATATTTAAATGTAACATAAGATGTTAATAGTCCACTTAGATAGAAAAATGTATCAACTGAATAATGTGCTTTGAATAATGGTTGATGTGAAAGTGATGATAGTCGTGATTTCATTATGAATGAATGTCGAAATAAATTCATCGGATTCCATTCAAGTGTATGGCCAATTATGATCCATACAAGTGTCAGGAAACGTATTCCATGAACACAGGCTAGATCATCATGTTTCGAGGTTTTTGTCGATACAAGTTTGGCTGCATTTTTGATTGGTGAAAACCATAACAATACTGTTTCGGATATTGAATCACTTTTTTTCATTACTAATCGATCATAGATTGCTGCCCATATGGTAATAGCTGATAATATGATTATGGTTATTCTAAGTTTTGAATAGAAAAAAAACTATTAATAAAATTCAATGAAAATATTAAACACACACACACATACAATGCTATTTTTTGAGGTAAATTAGGTGTCCATTTTTCTGTCGATTTTATCGTACATGTTGATAAATGAAATTCAAGACCCGTTTCTCCAAGGTGATTATTTTTGATAACATTATGAATATCCATATCGGTACAGGAATTAGGTATACAAATACCCATACGTATGAAAATATGATAGAAAAATGATGATACACTGGCCAGATCATGAAAAATGGCTCCATTGGAAACCAAATCTGGACGATTTGTTTCATTTGGCAATGGTATAACAGGGAAATTTTTAACAATATTATGATGATCAGGCATTGGTGTTGGCATTGGTAAAGCTAAATCTAAGAAACAATATTTTGATACAATATCTGTATGATCAATGGATAAACATTGATCATAATCACCATAATCAGTAAATGTACCAGTCATCAAACCGGATGGTAATGAACGTGCCCATGAATTGAATAATTTAAATGACCACGTTTTTCGTTGATGAAAAGCAATCAATGCACGATTAATATCTGTACGACATTCTTGGCTTATATTATGATTATCAATAATATCATGATTCAGATCAATATAATGAGGCAGAATAGCTTTGGCAAATAAATCATCTGAAATATTTAACAATGGTTGCCATAAATATTCTTCACTACATGAATGATGGTAAGAATTTAGGATAAAAATCACAAAAATGGCAACAAAATTAAATTTTGCCATCTTGATGAAGAATTTAAAAAAAAACAGAAACAAAAACGATAAATCACAACAACAACAACAACAACAACAAAAATTCAAATATTAATCACCATGTTCGAAAAATAACGGCAAATAAAAAAATAATTCACAATTATGATAATTATCGAATGATGATGATGATGATGATGATAAGAATGGGAAAGTTTACATTTGACAATGGTCAGGAAAGAAGATTTTGTTTTGTTTTGTTTTGTTTTTTTTTCAATATCGATTGGCGGCCACCACCATCACCATCACCATCATCATCGCCACAAGATGGTCAAAATTATATTTGATTAAATGAATGTATGTATGCCAACAATGTTTGTCTTCAAACATTCAAATCTTTGTTTTGTTTGTGTTCATTCATATATAAGATGGTGATGATGGTGATGATGATGATGTTTGAAAATCATGGAACAAATCTTTGTATACTGATTTCATTCGAAACACAAAAAAGATTCTGATCGTCTCTGTCCACACTGTCCACTGTGTGTCTCTCATTCACTTTCTTACAAACATTTGTTTTTTTTTACTTTGTTCTTTTCTGTTCGATATTTGTATATTCACTTAAATGGATTCATCATCATCAACATTATCATCAACATCAACATCTCTTTGTTGTTTTTGTTGTATTGAGAAAACCAAATGACGACCACCACAATACTCGCCCAAACGATCAAATAATTAATCAATCATCGATTTTTATATTTTGTTATAATAATATTAGGCGTCGGTCATGATAAATAGCGGTAGTGGTGGTGGTTTTTCATCAATCAACAATTGTATTTACATATATTGATTGATTTCAACAATTAATTATAACACACACACACACACATTCGATCAATATCGTTGCATTCCGGTTTTTTTTGCTATCATCAGAAGATTAGAAAAAAAAATTTCATTGTTTTTTTTTGTTTGTTTGTTGTTGTTGGTAATTTTAATTTCAATTTCAATTCAAAATAAATAAAAGGATTGTATAATCATCAAAAAATTTGCATATGTATGTGTGTGTGTGTGTGTGTGTGTATTTGAATCGGATTGATTGAATGACAATAAAGAAAGAAAGAATGAAAACAAAAGGTGTGAATCACCAAAGGTGTGCACACCGCATTGTCTTTGTTTTTTCCTCGAAAACAAGAAAATCATAAAATTCATATTTTTATTTTTGGTGGTAGTTTTTTTTTTGTTCAATGATAATAAAAAATTAATTTTTTATTATTATTATCGATCAATTGTGTGAATATTTGTCAAGTTTTTTTTTAAAGTGACCAATTGACATTGACAATAACAAAACAACATATGATTTTTTTTTTTTTTTTTTAAATTTCAATTTCAACCAAAACACACACACACACACAGACACTCATTCGATGATGATGATGATGATGATGATAAAAGGATTATTTATCAAAGGGGAAATGAAATGGAGATTTTTGATATTCTACCTTCCCCCACCACCACATTGCATTCATCCATCAATCCATGAAATGAATGACTGAATGAATGAACGTCAAAATTTTTATTTGAAGTGGATTGTAAAAATTTTTTTTTTTTTATTTTCACCTTTGTTTTGTCTTTCAATGTATGTGTGTGTGTAGGAGGAGGTGTGAAAAATTTTTTTTTTCACTCTGTTTTGTCGTAATTAAGTTTCAATGTTTTGTTTTGTGACTTGTGATTAATGGCTAGGATTGATTGATTGATTGATTGATTTGATTTGAAACTAAATTGTAAATTAATCAATCAATCAATTCTACGGGATAATGGAATGAAAAACGGCATTCAATGATCCATTTTCATTATAGAGTAGTCAGAAAAAACAAAGACTTGTCTTGAACACACACACACATATGTATTCAACAAGTGTTTGACATTGTTAAACCGTTTTGTAAAGGTCAATTGGTCTTTGATCATCAAACATTTATGTGTGTGTGGAAAAAAAACATAAATCGTGTGTGTGTGTGTGTTTTCCTTCCGAAAAAAAGAAGATATATTCATTCATTTCGCATTCAAGTTCAATGGAAATAGCAAAAAAAAAAATTGACAGAACAAAACAACGAAAACTTTAACTTTATTTCCGCATTATCACTACAGGATGTCCCATGATCATGAGACATCATACAGTGATTTGTTCCAGATTAATTTAAACAATAAAATGAAAAAAAAATTTTAATTTCATCAATGGATCGGCATGTGGTTGGCAATCAACAATGTTTGATGATAAGATGAACATGATTTAAGATTAAAAAAAAAACAAAACAAAAATGTTTACAGATTCATTGTCATTGTTTAATAATGACATCGATTTGATCATCATTTTCCAAATCATAGGTATCGATTTTTTCCATTAAATTCATTGGTTCATAATCAAATTTTAGTAGAATTTTTTCAATAGGAATACATCGATCTTTTGCATAAATTTCAGCTAAATATTGAACATTTTCAAATCGATTCACAAAACATGTAAGACGTTTTTTATTTGAATCACGAAGATGTAATTCAATTACATTTGGATCATCATTTTGTGTGTTTGGTCCAATTTCATTTGCCATCGAATCATCCAATCGTTGTTCATCGGAACGAACAAACATTTCAAATATATCGGCTACTGATAGATTTATAGATTGAGGTGTTGATTTTGCATCCACAATATTATCATTTAGATATAGGATTAATCGAGATATAGAAATGTCGAAACGTTCAGCAATTTGATCAAATATTGATGAAAATGTTGCCGTACGAAGCATCTTAAAGTATTCGATTCTATCCAAACGTTTGATACGTATTCTTATCCAATCATATAAAACATCATCGATTTCTTCATAATCGTGAATTATTGATGAATTCATACTAGGCAATGGTGATTTACTATCATCAGTTAATTCAATAATTTCTACTGATGAATCATAAACTTCATTTATCGTTGTTGGAGAATTTATTTGTTGAATTTCACAGGAATCAGATGTAACTCGTCTTTTTTTAAAACTGGTCGAATCCATCGGCTGAATTTGATCATCATTCTGTTTACAGTGGTCATTATGGTTATGATTTTTATTTTTTACATCACTATCACCAGTTCCAGATAATTTATCGTCAACAATTTTATGATGATTATTTACCAACAATTTTTTCTTAACATGATCATCATTTTCAAGAATTTTCTTCCATTTTTCATCATCATTTAAAAATTTACGATACGAATTGACAACATTTGATGACACAAAACTTGGACGAACTTTATTCAAAGTTTTCTTGACATTATCATTATCATTATCATCAGAATCATCTTCTGAATCTGTTAACAGTACAATTTTTTTCTTATTTTTGGCATTTGAATAGTGGAAGAATTGTATATCAACAATTGAAAATTTTTAAACAATAATTTCAATCAGCTTGAAAATAAAAAATAAACAAATAAAAATAAATATAAATATTTCGAACCAAATTCAACCATTCATAGAGGACGTATTTTAAAGTTTGAATTAATTAAATTATCATCATCATCATCATTACAATCCTTTCCAAAAACTCTCCAAATGCTTTACTTTAAAAACAATAATTAATTTTTTTTTTTTATTTCTCAAAAAATTAATTTTGTAAAAAAATGCATTTTGCATACAGATAAAATACCTTTTTGTTGTTGTTGGTGGTGGTGATATTTTTTTCATGAATGACGAAAGACCGAAAAAGTTAAAAATAAATCGTATTGTTCGTTTGTTCGTATAAGTGTGTGTGTGTGTGTGTATAAATATCAAATATATATAAAAAACGAGAAAAAAAAAATAAAATAAAATTAAACAATTTCATCATTGTGGTCATTTCATCATCATCATCATTCGTTGAGCTTGACATAATTGGCTGGAAATAGGCCCACTTTACCACGACATTGACCACGCCACCATCCTTCATCAATCATTTCAATATTAGTAATCAATTCATCTGGATCAAATGTAATTTCATCCGATTCGGCCGCTTCATAATCAAACAATGCAATTGCCGTTAAACCTAGATCTTCATTGTTTGTTGTTTCAACAGTTGTCACACAACTTGTTGCTTCTTGTTCTTGTTCTTGATGAACTGGATTTGTTTCGACAACAGCTGGTTGAATTTCTATCGGTTGTTGATTACTAATTACAGGTTCTGGTTGAATTGAAGATGTTGTTATAGTAGTATTAGCAGCGGTTATGGTTGTTGGTGATTTTGGCACCGGTAATACCGAGATGCCTATCTTATTGAGATGGCGACCTTTTTGCTGATGAAGTGGCCTTTCATCATCATCATCATTAACATTGGTATTGGTATTTCTAGATTCTGTCGATCGATCACCAGATTCTTCTTCATCTTCTCGGGCTTCACTTTCAAACACTACACGATCTTTATTCAATTCTTTTTCATGTGCTTCTTGTTCGATTCGTTTTTGACGTTCACGTTGAATTCTTTCACGGGCTACAGTATCATCTTGTTTGGCTAGATTTTCGAATTTACTTGCCAATGATTTGGCATCACCTTTAATAATTTCTTTCTTTTGTATGTTTGTTGTCTTTTTTGTATCATCATCATCATCATCACGATCTTCCCAACGTTTGGCGCAGCTATCTTTACGGTCTTTTTCCACGCCAAATTTCCCACCAAATCCTTTGCTTGCATCCAATTGTGATGAATGTTTCTCCACTGTTTCGTGATGATCCCAACCAACAGCCGATTTATCTACACGATCTTTTTGTACACCAAATTTTCCGCCAAATCCAACAGAATAATCTTTTTGTGATTCATGTTTGTCCACCTTTTCATGATGTTCCCAGCCAAGGGCCGATTTATCGACACGATCTTTCTGCACGCCAAATTTGCCACCAAAACCGACAGAATAATCTTTCTGTGATTCATGCTTGTCCACTTTTTCATGATGCTCCCAACCGAGGGCCGATTTATCAACTCGATCTTTTTGTACACCGAATTTACCACCAAATCCTTTACTAGCGTCCAATTGTGAAGAATGTTTTTCCACTTTTTCATGATGTTCCCAACCTACAGCAGATTTATCCACTCGATCTTTTTGCACTCCAAATTTACCACCGAAGCCAACCGAATAATCTTTTTGAGATTCATGCTTTTCTACTTTTTCGTGGTGTTCCCAGCCGACAGCCGATTTGTCCACACGGTCTTTCTGTACACCAAATTTGCCACCAAATCCTACGGAATAATCTTTCTGTGATTCATGTTTGTCCACCTTTTCATGATGCTCCCATCCGAGGGCCGATTTATCAACTCGATCCTTCTGTACGCCAAACTTGCCACCAAAACCGACCGAATAATCTTTTTGTGATTGATGTTTATCTACTTTTTCATGATATTCCCAACCAACAGCTGATTTGTCTACACGATCTTTTTGCACACCAAATTTACCACCAAAACCGGTGGAATAATCTTTTTGCGATTGATGTTTATCCACTTTTTCATGATAATCGAAACCAACGGCTGATTTATCCACACGATCTGTTTGTACACCGAATTTACCACCAAATCCTACTTTATTATCCTTTTGCGATTGATGGGCAAATTTTTCTTTTGATTGTATATCTTCTTGGCTAACTTCATTTCGAAGCTGATCTAAACTGATGATTACCATAAATGGGAAATAAATCCGGAATTAATTAAATGGACATAAAAATCAGAAACAATCAAACAACTTACTCGATAGCGGCAGCCGTACGTCCAGAACCTTCAATAGTTTTCGAACCCCAACGTTGATCCTCTTCGGTCACATCGTTCTAACAACAAATAAAAAATAATGAATTAATACGATGATCATAAAAATCCTTCACCCACAATCACCATTTTAATTAAAACACGATTAATACTTACAATAAAATCTGGATCGGTATCCCAGTCATCGTTATCTGCCGACTTTAATGCATCCGAATTAACGTATTGGGCACTTTTCCACATTTGGAATAGTTGAAAGATTTTCGAGATTTTTTTTTACTTAAAATTCAAAGACCAATAATAAAAATGACATAACAGCGTTGATGACGCACGCAACAGATTTCAATTAGAAACAAGAAAACCACTTTCAATGTTGGACAGTTTTATTCTTTCATAATTGATTGACAATAGGTTTGGTTTTTTTGTTTAATGATGATAATTGATATCGAGCAAAATATAGAAATTAGAGCATTGGTGACGACGGCGACAGATATTTATTCTCATGACAACATCATTTTTTTCCAATTCGATTCTATTTCCACTTGGCCATTAATGGTTAGGTGTCTGTAGCTGTATTAATCACATGGAATTTTGTATTAAATTCTTGTGACAAAAATAAAAACAAAACAAAACAAAACAAAAAAAAAAAAAAATGTTGACCAATTTTAATGGGAAAATTTTACGGATTAATAATTTTAGATTTTTATCATCATCATCATCATCATCATCAACAACAACAGCCACAAATGAAAATTCAAAACAAAGTAGTGATATTAGATTGATGAACAACAATGATGAGGATAATTTTCCCATATTAAAAATTTTACCATTCGGTAAAGTTAAACGTGAACAAAGGATTATATTGAAAACAGAGGTATGTGTTTGAAATGTCAAATTGGAAAATAACGAAACCGAATTTCCTTTTATATATTGATTTTAAGGTGATAAGTCCACGTTATAAACGTTTAAAAGATAATTGTAATTGGACCAATGTATGGCCAACATCGAGAAATTTCAATCCATCCACCGTACCATTACCGATTCATATGAGTTTTGTTGATGATAATAAAATACGTGCACCAGTGGGTAAATTTAATAATCCTGAATTGTTGAAAATTCCAAATTTTCTTCATCTAACACCTGTAACTGTGAAAAAACAATGTGAAGCAATCAAACGTTTCTGTACAAGTTGGCCAAAATCATTAAAAACTGATGATGATTGTGATCGACATTTTCCAATCACTATTCGTACAAAAGATTTTGTTTTCAGTGGTCCATCAATACGTTGGCCAGAATCAAGAATAGTTGAATTATCAATTAAACTTTCAGATTTAAAATTAAATGAACATGCTCAAGATAAAATGAAACGATTATTAGCACATCGATATAATCATGAAACAGATATGGCAACCATTCGAACGGATAGTTGTCCATTACGTAAACAAAATTATGATTATGCTCATTATCTACTTACTGCTTCCTATTTTGAATCATGGGTATGTTTTTTTTACATTCGAATCATATATCAGAATTTCAGATATTCAAGAATTTTTTTATTTTTTTTTCGTTTAAATGAACAAAAAAAATATAGAAAACAGAAAAATGGGAATCAGAAAAAGAATATGGTGATTGGGAACGATATTTTTGGAATCAAAGTAAATCACGTGAATCAATATTAACATATATGAAACATGTTAAGCCAGAAAAATCGATCGAAGAATTGGAACAACAATCAAATGTTCAACAGTATGCAAAAGCTGTTACTGAATTATATGATGGTGGTGTACATACTGGGGAAACAACAGAAACATTGGATCAATATAAAAAATCTGTTTTACAAATTCTATTTCCAAATCAAGATTCTAAATGATATGTTTAAAAAATTCATGAGAAAATTTTTTTTTTCTGTTTGCTTTTGAAATCTTGTAATAATCTAATTATAGAATAAATTGTCAATTGAATAATGAAACAATGAACAACGAAAAGTCAAAAACACCCATGGTTGATTTTTTTTTTTTTGTTTTGTATCCATTTCCTCACCATTTTTTTTACGTTTCCTACGAGATTATAATTTGTATATAAATTGAAGAAATGAGAAAAAAAATCCTCTATCTGATGATGATTATTACAATGTAAACAAAAACATACCACATCCATTGGAGAAATTGATAACCAACAAGAACAGAAAAAAAACCTATGTTGTTCCTATGGTGCCCTATTGATGTTTACCAATAGTAACACATTATCTATATCTATCTACTAGTGTGTAATAGAAAGGCGGGGGGGGAAAAATAAGAAATTTTTTCCTGTTGTTGTTGTTGTTGTTGTTATTGTGTCTTTTCATCACTAAAAAAAAAAATTTGCTTGATTTCACTTGTTTATGAAACACAAACGTTTGTGTGTGTGTGTGTGTGCTATATGTGGACTTTTATCGTTATCGTTTAGAAGTTAAAAGAGATCCTCATCATCATCATCATCATCCCATAACCAATCCCATCATTATTTAGTTGCCTGACATTCATTGAATAATTTGTTTTCAATCAATAAATTCTCTGCAAGCAGATTAATATCAATTAATCAGTGTTTCAGAATTTTTTAAAATTGTTCATTATTATCATCATCATCACCAACAACAACATTATATATCAGCACATAATTCATTCAGAATCATCAGCAGAAGAAAAGAAAAAAATAATCATAGAAAATGGCCGAAAGTCGTTTTGGTATCTTATATGTGATTACACGTATCTTATTGGTTGTATTGATCGTTATTATGATTGTATTGAATATTATTGCCATTGTCAATGCAAAAGGTGAAGTTAGAGACGTTGTTTGGGTTGTATTCTCATTCATTTCATTATTAATCGGTTTATTGGGCGTTTGGAAGGAACATTTTCTATTTTCATGTTTATTCACCGTCATTGCCATTGTATTGGTCTGTATTAGTGGTGCATTCGGTATATGGATATCGACAGCCGGTACCGTTGTTATTATTATAACGGCAATTATCTATACATTTATGCTATGGGATATGGGTCATCGTGAAATGAATGTACCGGATATGTGTTGAATACTAGAAAAAAAAATTAGAGAATCGAAAAACATTTTTTTTGTGAAGAACAAGAAAAAGAAGACAACGATGGATGGATTTGGGTGTTGTGAAAATTAATGTTTTTTTCCTGGCCTTGTATTTTTTTTTGTCCTTTTTTAATCATTGATGATTTTTGATTTTCATTTATTTAATTCAATTAAACAATAAAAAAAAGTGAAAAAAAAATTTGTGTAAATTATCCGCTTTTTTTTTTTTGAAACTATAGAACAATATAGTACAACTCCTTTTTGCTGTATACAGAAAATAGGAGGATTTGATCGATAAAAATCCAAATCAAATAATTGAATCCAATCAATCAATCAATCAATCAAATGATGATGATGATGGCAAACATATAAGAACCAATATATTGATTCAACAAGTTGATAGAAATCCATTCTTGAAAAAAAAAATCAAAATCAAAATCAAAAATGGTTATGATTATAAACCACATGATGATGATGATGAATAGGCGTTGTCATCATTACCATCACCATATATTATTGATTTTTAATGATAATATCATGTTATCTTATCAGCTCTACACCAACACCACCACCACCACCACCATAAACGATAGCAGCAACGAAAACAACAACAATGATTTTATCAATATTATTTACCATTTTATTATTACCGATCATCATCATCATCATCGAGTCTCACACACACAAACAAACAAACAAACAAATTATAATTGACTCAAATTTGATTGATATGTATAGCACACACACACACACACATAGTTAGATATTTGACAATAAGTATGATTATGGTACACTCATAGACACAGAAGACAGCTAATCATCGATATTGTGATAGCCATTATCATCATCATCATCATCATTGAATTGATGAAATCTGGTGTGTGCTATATGTGTGTGTGTATTATGTGTATCATCAAAGTTGTATATATGCAAAAAAAAAAAAAAATCTAGTGTGTTTGTGTGTAGAGCTCAAATACAAAAAAAAACGTTCGATTTTTGTTTGTCTGTGTGTGTGTATGTCGACCTAGAATTTTTTTTTTACAAATTTCAAAATTAAAAATTTACTCACTGAATATGGAATCATTGATTGAATTGAACCATACAAATCATAGTGATAATGGCGATGATGATAATAATGAAAAATGGTGAATAATGATCAAAATGAATTATCGATCATCCAATCAACAACAAATAACAATGATGATTTCAAATTAATCGATAATCAAAATCATGATGATTCCAACCGGTAAGCATTTCAATGAATTTCAATTTTCATCATCATTTGCATAATTATATATATCAACAGTAATTTCGTTGACAATAATAATAATAATCATGAATATCAAATCAATTCAAATAACGATGATATTGTTGATGATGCCGACCCTGATGATGATGACGATGATGATGATGATGATGAGAATGGTGGATCTGAAACAACCAATAATATTAGAAAACCGGATAATGATTCAATGAAAATGTTTGTTGGACAAATACCACGTGATTGGTATGAAGATGATTGTCGCCAATTATTGGAACCATATGGTGAAATCTATGCTATCAATATACTCAAAGATAAAGAAACAAAAAAAAGTAAAGGTATGTCAGTGCAGGTGTCAGGTTTATTTTGTTTTTGTCATTTATAAATAATGGATAAAATTCCAGAAAAAAAATGTAAAAAATTTTCATTCATTCAAAAAATTAAATGTTGATTATTTATCAAAAAAAATAGGATGCTGTTTCGTTACGTACTATACGAGAAAAGCGGCTCTTGATGTAATGTCCTTTTTGAATGTCTTTCTCTCTCTCACTCACTAAAAATTTGTTCGAATTTTTTTTTTGTTCCTGTCATCCCCCTTTCACCATCATGTGTGTGTGTGTTCACATAATGATCGTTTTTTTTTCGTTTTATTATCTTTCTTTATTTAATTATTTACATATTTTTGTGTCATCATGTTCTATGTACGTCGAATTGTATGTGCATTTTTCTTTTAAATTTTGTTTTGTTTTTGTTTTTTTCGATTGCCGAAAAAAAACAAAACAAAATGCAGGCACAGAATGCATTGCACAATCTTCGAAAACTTCCATCGGTGAGTTGTCTTGTTTGTTTTTTATATATTATATTTTATTTATATACATTTTTTTCTGTTTTTTCGAATGCATGCATGCATGCTTGTATGCATCCGAGAAAAAAAACCCCATAAACACGCCTATAAAAGCCATCTATCCTCCCATCCACCTACACACACATACACACACACACACAGATATTAATTATCCATGTCATCATCATCATCGTCGTCGTCGTCATTTAAATATGTCATATTCGTCGTCATCTTGTTTATTCTTCTATTTGTATCTATGTCATTCTTGTCCGTCACAATCGTCAACGATCCGAAACAGAATTTCATTTCATATTTTTTTTTCTCTTTATGTAGAATTTATAATTTTCATTTTTTTATATATTCCATGTGATATGTTCCATGTTGTTAGTGTGTGTGTGTGTCTGTGTGCATCAACATCATGACATTGTCATCATCATCTGACAACATTATCGTATAGTCAATTTTATTATTATTTGCATCTAATTTAAGTTTTTCTCTACAATTTTTTTTATTGTTCTTTATCATCATCATTGCTAAAAAAAATAAGTTTGCGTGTGTGTGTGTGTGCGTACTAAATTCCATGTTCCAAGTAATATTAAATACCAGAGGGAAAAACATTCCATTTTTTTTGCTTACACACACACCCACACACCCAGAAAAAAAAAAAATTGACCATTCAAGCTTGTTTTTTTTAAAAATTCAAAACAATATTGAGTTGGCGCCAATTTTTTTTTTTTGTTTAAATTCAATGAAATGAACCCATTGTTGATTGGTCTTTTCAGACATTGAATCCAATGAATCTATAACAGAGAGAATTTTGAGAATCAAAACGAAAAAAATTTTCAGTAATTGTCAATGATTGGTAACAACAACAACAACAGCAGCAGCAATAGCAACTATTTTGGATCCATTGTCGAATTTTTTTTTTCTATGGAACAATTTTTTTTTTGTTTTTCCAACAAAAAAAACTTTTCTGCTCTGTTTATTTTTCAATGTTTTCCATTGTCATCATCATCGGATTTTTTGTTGTTGTTTTTTTTTTTTTTTTTGAAAAAAACCAACAACAACAACAACAACAAACAATTCTTCCGCGTTTGTCGATGATGATAAATCCATGGCAAAGAAAAACGAATTCCATTGAAAAAATCAAAACACAAACAATGCCCAAAATGCTCATCGAGATGATGATGATGATGATGATGAAACTCGAAATTTTTTTTCTCTCTCTGTACTCCCCTGTCAATAGTTTTTTTGGTTTTGGTTTTTTTTTTGGAACCATTCCACCGAGGTTGTTCTGTGTTGTTATGTGAATTTTTTTGTTGTTGTTGTTGTTGTTGAAAGCAATCAATTTTTTTTCTCCAATGTTTAGTCAGCGCCCCTTTTTTTGATCCTATCGTTTCCGTTTTTCATTTCTTTCGTTTTCATTCATTCATATCGAAATCATTTATTCACAGGAAAACTATTTCCATCGATAATGATGATGATGATGAAAATTTTATGAAATCGATGAATGGAAGAAAAAAAAAACAGAACAACAAAAAAATGAAATGTGGTACAATTATGACAGTGAAGATCATCACTTTACCTTTAATTGTGTTTTTGAGTAAGTGAATAAGTGAATGAATGAATGAATGACAGAGTGGTGAAAATTTAAAAAATTTTCAAAAATCAGTTGTTTATGGTAACCGGAACCATAACAACAACAAGAGAATCTACCCATTTTTTAACGTTCGATTTTTTTGTTTCTTGCACATAGATGACGTATGTCAGACAAAAAAAAACTTTTTTTTTCAAAAATAATTTTGATCTTTTTTTTGAAAATGATCATAACTGGATTTTTTTTTTGCTTTTCACTACTACCATAATCGATTGTTTCATGCATATATTTTGTTTAATGGGAAAATTTTACTTTGTTTGTATGTCGATCATGATGATGATGATGATGACCATTTTAAAAGCATCGATATTTTGAATGAAAAAAAAACAAACGACGACCATAATGATAATGATGATGATTATGACTAAAAAAATTACTTACATGTTCGGTATATATATATATATGATAATTCCATAATTCATTTCCTATTTGTCATTTTTTCTCATTCATTCAATTTAATAATGTCGTCGATTGATGATAATGATGATCAGTGAAAGTCTGTCTGTGTGTGTGTGTGTGTGTGTGTGTATGCATCACAAATTTGCCTTGTATATAAAGCCCAAAAACTTTGCATTTTTTTTTGTCCAGAATGGGAATTTTTTTTTTTTTTTTTTTGAGCACCGTGTAAAATTTTGTTGTCAAACTTGTTCGAAAGTTAGAAACAAAAAAAAAAGAAGAAGAAATTATTGAAAACGAAACGTATTTACTTTCAAACGATCGATAAAAACGACACTAAAAGTACTCGAAAAATAGAGATAGAAAGAAAAAGTGCATATTGAATGAGTGAGAGAGAGAGATGGGGAAGAGAAAAGTTCCTATGACAAGATCAACTGATGATGAACCTAAATGTTAAAATATACGACTGTGGTGGTGGTGGTGGTGGTGAATGCAAGAAAAAAAAAGAAAATTTGAAATTTATTCCAATTGGAACAGTTGTATCGGTGGTTGTTGTTGTTGTTGTTGTTTTCCACTTTTTTCCACCATCTTTTTGGTCCCCATTTTTTTTGCTCTTTACTTAAATGTGTAGTGATGGCTTCAAGTCATTTGACTTGTATTTGTGTGTGTGTGTGTGTTTGATGAACAAAATGAAAAAAAGAAATTGATCATTTTTTTTCTCTTGTCTCTCTCTCTGTGTGTGTGTGTGTATATATGTATATTACCCATATCTTTATTTGAAATTTGATAAAAATTTTTTTTTTTTTTTTTTTTCCCGTTATTTTGACTTTGTCCCCATTTTGGATTTTCTTCCATTTTCAACAAACGACAACAACGTACAATAATAATAATAATAATCAGTGCCGAAATCCGATTCAAATGAAACCGGCAGATAACGAAAATAAAAATGGTATGTTTTTACTTACACACACACGCAAAACAAGACGATCAATATCGTCTGTTTGTTTTTTATATGATGTAAAAACAACAAATGAATTAATTTTAATCAAAAATTTTTTTTAGATCGTAAACTTTTCATTGGAAAATTGCCGAAATTCATTACAGAAACAGAAATATTGAAAACATTTGAACAATTTGGACTTATTGAAGAATGTATTATATTACGTGATAATCAAGGACAAAGCAGAGGTATGTTGATGAGATACAGTAAATTGAACAAAGAAAAAATTTTTTTTTTTTTTTTTGATTCAAATTAATCATTTTGATGAAATTGAAACAAAATTACAATTTTGTTTTATCTTTTTTTTTGTTTTGTTTTCATCCATCATTCAAGGATGTGCATTTGTTACATTTTCCACACGTTCAAATGCAACACAAGCGATGCGTGAATTAAATCAGACAAAAATATTTGATGGATGTATGGTTCCTATTGTTGTTAAATTTGCTGAATCAAATCCCGATCATCAACATCAACGACGACAACAACAACAACAACAACAACAATCAAATTCTCATAGTGATCTTCGATCACCAATCACAATAATGAATAGTCTTTTTAATACGGCAACAACGCCTATGGCTGCTATAAATCTATCAGCGCAGCCATTAGTTTCCTATCCAAGGGTCCATGCTCAATCACCAAATTCATCAATTACATCAACCGGGACGAATGCATTGTCGGCAATAGATCAGACAAATTCTGTTTATCTTAATAATTTGATCAAGTTTCAACAACAACAATCTCAACAGCAACAATTGTTAAATATGTCCACATTAAGTCATCCTACTGCAAATCCATATGCAACAGCAGCAGCTTTACCAACTGATTTGACCTATCCAAATCTGGTTCTGGGAACCAAATCGACAGCTACAGCGGCCGCATTAATAGCTTCAGGCCAAATTTCTGCAGCAGCTTATCCGACTACGGCGACTGTAACGAATACCAGTCCTACTCATCATTTTCCATTGGTAGCAATGGCAGCGAATGCAAAATTGGCCGATTCATTAACGATGGCTGCTATGAATGCTACATCACCATATCATCATGCCTATCATCATCATCATCACCATCCTGCTGTTTATCATGCCAAACACCATTATGGTCTAACTACAACAACAACGACAGCGGCAATGAATAATGGGAAACAAATCGAAGGCCCTGATGGATCAAATCTATTCATTTATCATCTTCCAGGTTAGTTAAAAAAAAGAATCAGACAAAATAAACAAAAAAAATTTAAAAGATTATAGTCAAGGAAAATTTGAAGAAAATCTGAAAAAAAAATAATGAGCTCTTCCTTTTTAAATGAAGTTTTAATCAAGCGATTTTTATCTAAATTGTTTTTTCATGAATTTCTTTTTTTTCACACTTTATTTTGATTGGATGGAATATTTCATTGTATCAGCCGAATACTCTGATTATGATCTGATCACATTATTCGCTCCATTCGGTAATGTTATTTCAGCCAAAGTTTTTATCGATAAAAATTCAAATCTAAGTAAATGTTTTGGTAAGTTATTATTATTGTTTGATTTTTTTTTTCTTGGAAATTGTTTGCAAAATGAATGAATCCAAAGAATGAAATGAAGTATGTGCACATACTATGATGAACATTGAGGAAGTTTTTCATTTTATGTGTGTATGTGTTCTGTTCGCTTCAATGACAATGATTCAAAACGCCATGCATGTTTATACTTTGATTTTTTTTTCTCTCTCCAAATTTACATATTGTATTCATTTCATTCATTTATTCATTCATTCGTCTATGTCTCCCATCATTCATTTTATTTCAATTCAATTGAATTCAATGAATATGATGGTGTTTTGACGGACCAATGAACCAAACATTTCCGTTTTTTCCCCATAAATTCTCATTTTTATGTTCTTTATTCTCATTTTTTTTTTTCTTTCTTACATCACCATGTTGTATTAATGACGATGACTACATGACGATTGATGATGACGAATAATAAAGGTTTTGTATCATACGACAATCCAGAATCGGCACAAAATGCCATCAGATCAATGAATGGTTTTCAAGTGATGAATAAACGTTTAAAAGTACAACTTAAAAAGTTCGTGAAAAACCGTACTGAATCATCGTCATCATCGTTTTTGGCCAAACAACTTTGCAGTGAGAAAAAAAACAACAAAAAAAATCCAATGAATAGAAGATAGAAGAACCCTTTTATATCTTTTTGTTATCATCATCATCATCATCATCATCAACTAGTCAAGGCAATAAATTTCCAAAGATCCAGAAAATTTTTTCCAACGAATTTCATTTCTTTCTTGATTCTTCCTTGCAGCCATTTTTATATTTGGTGGTTAAGAAGCAGAAAAAAAAATTCTTTTTCTTAGGAAAACTCACACGGAAATTCATTGGCCTACAACGAAATTCTTGCCATATTATGATTGTTCTATTTATAAACACAACCACACAAAGTGAACTTGTCGCTTCGATACTAATGACTTATGAAACATTTATTTTTTTTTTCTTTCCAACAAATATATAGAGAAAAAAAAATATGTCACTAAAATCATATTATTGGTTGTTGGCTGCTTGGTTTAGCCTTGGAATGATCTTATGTTTTTTTGTGTGTGTGTGTATATGAATGAAATGAAACAATCTTTATAATCATTCACAGAAGCTCAGAATTTCTCATCATTCGACATGTCCATCCCTTTCTTTTGATTATACACCAATCAGTAAGCCTTTTTTTTATACAAAAAAAAATTTGATTTATCAAAATTAATTTTGTTACTATATACACACGATGTACAATGTAACAAACACACACACACACACACACACACAAGCATTTCATATTTAATAAAAATCATTTATCTTAAAATGAATAAATGAATGAATTTGATGTGTTTCTTAGTGTTGGGGATTCCTATAGCCAATGCCCACCCGTGGTTTTTTGGGTTTTCAATAATTTTTTTTTCTTCATATCAAAATCTATTTTGAATCTAAAAATTTTTTAATGGTTAAAATAATTTATTGTTTCAAATCATCATCATCATTATTGTCGTTGTTGTTGTTGTTTCTGTTGCCTAAATCATTTAGATTGAAAATCTCATCCATTGTTATTCGTTCCAATTGATTGTTATTAATTTTATGCTCACACATTGGACAAAAACGATTGCCACCACCACCATCATCATCATCATCGTCGTCTTCATTTTTACCATTTTTTATCATTGATGATTGTAACAATTCCAATAGATATGATTTTATGGCCGGAAAATGACAATAAGAACATTTAGTTAGATCCGATAAACGGATATGCATTCCACTTGCAATACAAAACGGTATAGCTGTACGACATCCGTTACAGACAAATTCATCATCGGCCACTGGTTCACTACAATATGGACATGGATTTGAATTGATGCATAATTCTTGTCGTAGTTCTTCATGGCTAGACAATCGTTTTTCGGAAGAAGCCGATTTACGTACAAGATTTTCAATTTTTTTCTTCAATTTTGTATCAATTCTATCAAGATCATCTTGTTTCATTAATGTATAAGCATATTTAAGTGCATTACGAACATAACCAGCTCTAATACATTCAATAACGACAAATGTTAAAATCTGTACAGAATCTGTTATAATAATAATGATGATGATGATGATGAAAAATGGTATTATATATCAAGGCTAAAAATATGTTCATTTCACTTACGTGAAGGAAATTGATTTATATTATCATAGACTCGTATCAATAATTTTGCGCTTATCTGATGGCCACCGATCCGTATCCACAACTATAGTTGTTGTTTCATGCAAAAAAAAAGTTAGTTAAAGAGGAACAAACAAAAAACATTTCGAAATCATCATCATCATTATTAACTTACTTTGGCCAACATATAACTATGTATCAACATTAGATTGAATGCCATTTCCGATGGTATAGCTATATGATTTGCATGTAATTCAACACACATACTATACAATAGTTGATGTGCATTACGATAATTACCGGACAACTGTTCTTCATGAGAAATTATTGTGGCCGTTTTAGCCGCTTCAACATAATATTTCATTTTCATATATAAACGAAATAAGAATTTAAAATCTTTTGGTATACCATCGGTTTCACCCATTAAATAATCAAGTATCAATCTTGTTACTTGTTCATCATGTGCATGTGTAGCTGCATCGATTGCCAATTCAATTGCATTATTATTATTATTATTGTTATTCATCATTTGATGGTCATTATTTATTGAATTTCGTTGACCTGATGCTGTTGATGATTGCAACAATAATTTAACGCCTTTTTGCCACATTCTTGCCAGACAATAAAATTTACCAGCTTTGAATAGATTATTCTCTTGTTCATAATAGATGGCAATCGTACGAAAATGTTGAAGATTGGCCATTGCCATTCTATTTTCATTTTTATTCGAAACTTTTTGATCATTTCCATTCAACAATGATGGGTCTTTGGTGTCAACATTTTCACCACCACCATCATCATCATCATGTTGATCATGAATATCAACATCAGTAGCATGATATTGCATTATATCAGCATAAATGTCGATTTGTTTTGTTGTCAATGCCAGATTATATGCATCATCATAACATTTGGACATTATTAAAAATTCAATAGCCGCTGTCATATCATTGAGACGTTGAAAAAATCTGGCAACCAATTTTGCACCAGCAACCGATTGATGTTCACGAACAATTTTTACAGCTTCACCTGGATTATTCAAATGATCAAGATTAATACGAACCACATCTTCCCATCGTTTAGCTTTCGAATAGATTTCGGCAGCATGACGAAATTGTTTTTCCATTTCTTTAATTCGACCATATTGACCAAGAATTTCATGATCCGTTATCATCGATATAAGATTGGATAATTTGGCTGAATTTTTTACCTTTAGATATAATATAGCTGCTTGATCATAATGTTTACATTGTTCATACAGAGCGGCAGCTTCTTGAATATGATTTAAATTTTCCAAAATTGATGCACATTCCTGTATCAATTTTGCTTCATCCAAACGATGGGCAATGATTAAAGCTTTTTTGAGATTACCACAACGAATTGAATTTCTTGCGATACCGGCCAAACAAAGCTGTACATGTTCACTATTATGATCGAGCTCTTTGGGTTCTTTTTTCGTTTCTTCACCATCAACATCACCAGATGATTGGCTGTTCAAAGCATTCTCGAAATTTTTCAATGCTTTTGAATATTCTTGTCGTAATTCTTGATTGAATGCAAGTTCACGAGAAATGGCCGGTATATCATCGGGTGATAAATGTCGTGCTAAAGCCAATGCTTCATTCCAATGTTGAAGATTTTTACGCATTTCAAGTGCTCGTATTGGTTGCGATGAATTCAGAAAATGTTTCTGTGCCAGATCATAATCGGCCAACATTTCAGCCAACAGGCCACATAATAGACAATATTCTGATTGATTACGATAATTTTCTAGACAATAAACGATAGTAAATTTTTGTAATTTTTGATACACACATATTGCTACATTTAAATCTAAATCCTGAATTGCAGCACGACCAACAGCGATCCAAAGATCTTCGGATTCATCTGGTCCAAGAAAATTACAGATTTTTATTGCATCTTGATAACGGCGAAGTTTGAGGATATTACGAAAAACATCACGTTTAAATGTTGATGGTATAGTTGTTGTATTGGAATTATTTTTGATAGCATAATCATGAGTGGATAATACAAAATTCGATGTTTTACCACTTTTCGTTTGACAAACAACAACACCATTATATAATAAAAGTGGATATTGTCCACTTGGAATTTTCATACGGCCAACAAAATCAACAATAGATCCATTTATAGTAGTTAATGGTGATGAATAAACATGAATGAATTTGTGATCACAAATAGTAAACACACAATGATCATGTATCCAACTTTCCCATAGGATTTTTACCGGTTTCGATGGTACATGATCAGTAGGTATTGATATTAATGTTTCACCATAAACATTATAAACATAAGCATCATTTCTTGAATCAATCAACACTAATCTGGTACCATTCTGATTACATTCAATCATTTGTATTGATTCCCGGTGACGATATACAACAGTGGTGTTCCAATCTTCAATAATAAAATAAATAATTGTACCATTATCGGTTGAAAATATAAGAAATTCATTGGTCAAACATAATGATGTAACGGAAATTTTTTTATTATTCACACCAATAGATTCTTGTTTTTGGCCATCTGGATATGTAAAATATTGTGGCCGATTATCATCATTGTTATTATTATTCGATTGATGGCGTTGTTGTTCAATAGGATGAAATTGTAATGAACCATTTGTGAACAATATTGCCATATAGAATTGATTTAATTTAAATTCTTTAATAATGCCCATATATTCACATTCTGTGGGTGGCATTTCAATTTCTGTGAGAACATAAAGCCAAATTTTATTATTCATTGCTATGGCTAAATGAAATGGACCAATAGCTAAACGTGATGGTTCAATTTCAATACGTACAATCATCACTGAATCTTGTATCTCTTCATGTACATTGAATATGGTTACTTCTAATAATGATGATAAAAATGCTAAACTAGTACCACAATTGTCGCCAATAATTTTCAATTGTGATAAATAAACATGAATATTACCAGAACTGGAACATAATGCCAATAATTGTCCATCGGCTGTCCAATCAATTTGTACAATTGATGGTTCATCATCCACAGTGAATACATTTTCAATATCATTATGTTCATAAAGATTAAATATTTTTATACTAAAAAAAATAATAAAATAAAAAATTCGCTCATTAATAATATTCACATGATGATGATGATGATATGATATGCACTTACTTATTCTCATCACAAGTTGCAATCCGATTAATATTCAAACAAACACTGAATGTTGTCATTGATTCTCTATGTGCTTTGATCTGTAATAATTCTACACCAAAATTTTTCATACCCGTTGATACGGTTATAATTAAACCGGATGTGAATGCAATGAAAATATTTCCACTTGGATAACAATAATAATCGATAATATTTTCATACCAATCCTTAAAATTTAATATAAATGAATTTTCACTATCCTGTATATTCATCATGAATAACATTCGTTTATTCAATACAAGACAAACACTATTATCGATTTTATTAACAGATGATGCCGATATTGCAGCTGTTGTTGTTGTTGTTGTTGTTGTCGATGTTGATGATGATGATGATGATGAATTTTTGTTATTATAATTCGTAATCATATCTTGATATGAATGAAAAAATTTTACATTCGATCCATCACCTTTCAATTGATTATGACTCAATGTATCACCATCTTCATTGTTTACAGTTAAAACACGATCTTCACCAATAACGGCAATCATATTGCTAGTACCAATTGAATTCCAACAGCAGCCAATTATACGTTTTGTATGTTTACCATAAATTGGATTCTTACGAGCTGTTTGATTATTATAGATGAGTATATTGCCTTTTGCTGTACCAACAAATAAACTTGAATGATTCAATTTTGACCATGAAATTGTTGTCAATATTTCTTTCATTCCAGTATCAATTTGTTCAAGTTTATGTGTAATTGAATTCCAAAGAAATATTAATGATGAACGATTTGTAATGATTGCAAGCCAATCACCATCTTCATCCCAACAAAGTGCTGTACAATAACTATTTTCATAAAACAAAAAACAAAAACAAAACAATTCAAGTGATCAGAAAACAAAACAAAACAAAACAAAACAAAAATTCAATTCTTACCCAAACAGGTTGATCTGATCAATATGTTCACCATGTCTATTGTATATATTGACAATATTATCAGTAGAAATGGCTAAATATTTAGATTTTTTTGTCTGCCATTTAAATAAACATTGATCATTGATATTCGATGTCATCGATGTACATGGTATTGAATAGATTCTTTTCATGTTGTTTTATCTTTATTCAAATGACAATGGTATTAACAAGATGATTTTAAAGGCCAGATTAGCAATAATAATCTTGAGAAGAAATTGATTCTTTTATTGATTTTTTTTTACCACCATCATTGAATATATTCACAACATTCTGGTTTTTTTTGTTGATTTGTTTCTCTCTTTGTTTCTTTTTCTGGTCACCATGGTGATTGTGGTTTGGTGTTTTAGAATTTTTTTGTTTTCTCAGTATCCCCTTGCTCATTAATTTAGCCGGATTGGTGACGATCATCCACAATTTTTTTTAGTCAAAAAAATTTTTTTTTCTCAGAAAATGTAGCCATCGGATGTGGAATGATTAACAAACAACAATGACGACGAAAAAAAAATGATAATTAATCACAACAACAGCGACACATATGTGACACATAGATTATAATCTAAAACGAAATGAAAAAATTGGTGATTAAATTTCAAAGACAAAAGAAAAAAAAATTAAATTTTTCTAAATGACGTCCAAGAAAAAAAAATCAAGACATTTTTTTTTTTCACCATCTGGCATTCATTCATTCATTCATTCATTATCACAATTTCCCATAGAGAGTTGGCCGCTAAACACTACCATCAAATAAAACAAAACAAAAAAAACCATGGTTATCATCATCAACAGATATATAAATATTGTCATGATGATACATACCATTACAACCGAGAAAAAAAAATTCAACACAAAAAAAAAAAAAAAAAACGACGAATCCATTTAAATTAATTCAATTATGAACAGTGGAAAAAAAATCTGAAATGGAATCAAAAAAATTTTAAACAAAAATGAGAAACCGACAATTGAATTTGAAAGAAGAAAAAAATCTTTTTCGGCTGTAAAATTCCGGAAAAAAAATGATGATGATGATGATGATTATCGGTCATGAAGAAGTTGAACATTTTTCATTGAAAAACAAAATAAATTCTTTTCCATCATTGCAAATTGTTGTTTGCCAAAAACAATCACATTTTGAAATCGAAAAAATTTTTTTCTTTTTGTTTTCATTTTCATCATTTTGCACTTGGAAAATTGTTTTTTTTCCTTTCTTTATTTCTTTCTTTCCTGCTCGTTCATTGTCCGTCAATGTTGTTGTTATTTTTATTTTTTTTTTTTATAAAACGAAATTTTCAAAACTGGATAAAGTGGTGAGATAAAAAAAAACAAAGAGAATAAAGAATAATGTTTCCATCATCTATCAAATGAACATTATGTGATTGAGAATATGAGAATGACAACAACAACAACAGCTTGTGAACGTCTCATTTTTTTTTGTTGATAGCAAATTTTTTTCTCTCTCATTCATTTCGAGAATCAAAACGTTTTGTTTTCGATATTCGAGAATATTTTTATAAACCATCATCATGATAAATCCCGGATAATTTCATTTCAAATGAATATTATCAGAATTCATTGTATCATTTCAATTGGTTCTCTGGTTATTTTTATTCATTTTGTCAAAATCATTACAGATTTCAATGGAATATAATTATAATCAAAAATCCAAAACGAAGAAATTTTAATCTTCAGTCCGTTTTCATGAAATTGGTAATTAATGTTATGATGAAAAACAACAACAACAGCAACAAATTTGAACATTCGTGATTCGAGCAAACATGATTTTCTAAATCAATCGACATCAAATCATGCACGCACACACTTGCACACACACATCATTTGATCAAAAAAAAAAAATGGATTTCATAATCAGTCGATTAATTCTGAATTGTGAAAGTAAAAAAAAAACAACAACAAATAGAAATTTTCTGCACTAATATTCAATTGTGATTAATAACACTTGCACATGATGAAAAATGTTTGTGATATGATGATGATGGAAATAATTTTTTTTTTTTTCATTTTTTTCATTTTTTTTGGCCATGAAAAATCATGTGCTATTATATATTTATCAATTAAGTTGAATGAAATGATTCACAACAAATTCGCGATTGTCGACAAAAATTATTTTTGCCAATTTTTATTTTTTCGTTCCCCATATATTCGAATGTTTGGACAAAACATCGAAATGGTTTTTTTTTACCACTGGAATTCCAATTCTGTATAGTGAGTGTATATATATATAGCCGAATAAAAAAACGAAAAAGAATCATTAATAAATTGTTCTTTTTTTATTCTTTCATTTTTTTTATTATTATTATTCATCCATTCCCATTTATGTTCATATATACAAGTAATAGCAGAATTTGGAATTTTTTTTTTTTTTGCTGTTTGAAAATCTATATCCATCCGAAAACAAACAAACAAACAAATGCAAGAATTTGTCCATTACATAATACACTGATGACAGCTGAATTGATTGTTTATCGATTATCATCATCATCATCATCATCATCAACGAATGATTCTGAATTTCAAGGTCCGATTTAATAGACGCCGAACAAAAAATCACCACCACCACCACCAACACCAAAATTAATCTATTCTTTTATCAAATTCAAAAGAAAAATGTCTTAATGCATTTCTAGATGTTCATTGGTTTGGTTTTGAGTTCAACTTTCTAATACAAAAAGTATCATCATCATCATCATCATCATTCATTACACATTTGGACAAACAAACAAACAAACATCATCATCATCATTAAAATGAAAGATTCTATTCTTGGAATCAATTCCACAATAATCCATTACTGTGGAAATCAAATGGTTGATTGAACAACAATAACTAATAGTTCATTATCAGTACCTATATTCTTTAGTGTGTGAATGAGAGAAAAAATGAAAACTTTTCATCATTGAAAAGTTTTCACTCGATTCTTTTGTTGTTGTTGTTGTTGTTATTGACCAATTTGTGATTCATTAGAATTTCGTTTTTTGTTTGCTTGAAACCAAAATCGATATATTTTGCTTGTGATGGAATAAACAAAATGTACACAGTACCTTTATCTTTTTTTTTATTCCATCACAAGCAAGAAAATCCCTTTATAACTCTCTCTCTCTCTATCTCTCAATCGGATTGTATATAATTTTTTTTTTATTATCATCAGTTTATGGTTTTTTTTCTGTTGTTTATCGAAACAGTTTTTTTTATTATTATTATCATTATTATATGTTTTTTGATATTCCATTAATATTTCGATTCATTTGTTTCAATAACCAACAGACTATTTTCTTTTCTTTTGTTTTTGTTGTTGTTATTGTTGTTGTTGTTGTCCACACACAAACATAAACAATGGAAAATTCTTACCAAACAGCGAATTTAACAAAATTAACGACTGATGATGGCATCATGCAAACAAAAAAAATTTCTTTCAACAACCAGAGTGAACAACAACAACAACAACAACAAAAAAAAAATGAATTCAATTAGATTAGAAGCAAGAAAAAAAAAAAAAAAAAGTGAACGGGAAAACAAAATGATGATGATAATAAAAAATAATCCAGCAACAACAAAAATGATTTTTTTTTCTTCTTTTGATGACATTTTTTTTCTTCTGTTTTTCTGTTTCAATTTATTTTTATATTTTGTTGCTGCTTTTGCTGCAGGTTTTTGTTGTTGTTGTTGTTGTTGTTGTTTTTCACAGTTAATAATTGTCATCATGATCATCATCATCATTCCTTGTGATGACGAATATGATGATGAAGAGATGCATGAAAACGGGGAAAAAAATTCTAACCACATAAACAAATGATGATAATAATTTTTAGTTTGAAATTCCGTTTTTATTCGTTGCCAATATGGCCAGAATATAACCGAACCATTGAAAAAAAAACTTGACTATTTCGTTCTATTATAATCAAAAAAAAGGGTGTGTGTGTGTGTGTTGGTGGCTATGGGTGTGGCAGAGGGATATTGTTGATGCGAAAAAATTGATGTTTATGGTTACAAATTTTGATTCGAGTCGAAGCAAAAAATAAAAAACGAATAACGAAATTCCGGATTCGGGTTCTTCCATAATAATAATATAATAATGAAAAAAAGTCAGTCACACACACACACACACACACACAAACATTGAATGCAAAAAAAAAAATTATTCTGACGATAGCGACAATTTTTTTTATTTCTTTTTTTTCTCCCATTTTTTTCCATCTATCTATCCATCCATCCATCCATCCATCTAGATTCTTTCTATCATCATTCAGGACCAGAGAATCATTTTAGGACCCTTTGTTATTGTTGTTGTTGTTGTTGTTGTTGTCGTTGATGATGATGTTTGTGGAACAAATATAAAAATATAAATGGCTATAACCAAAACGCCAAACGGCGACAACTATGACGACGATGAAAAACCAAATCCCTACACATAGATACAAGCTACTAGTTGTTGTTGCATCCAATCCATGTTGTAAAAATCATCTCTTTCTGCACACACACACACACACACACACACACACACACATAGATAGATAGATAGAGACGGTGCCAGAATCATAAACCAAAAGAAGAAATGAAAATTCTCAAACAAACAGTTGGCTACAGTTTATTTTTCCATTTCATTTTCAGTTCCGTATTCAACTTGTTAATGTTTATTCGGTTGTTTGTTTGGTCTATCCACACACCTTTCAATTATTCATTGAAATTATCAATTTGCAATTAGTGATGATGATTTGTTCGTTTGATGAATTTTTTTTTGTTTTGTTTTTACAACAACGCAACAAACACTATAAATTGAATGGTGATGATTGAAAAAAAATTCCCTTTTTTTTTTGCTTTTACAGTGAAATTAATTTTCGACGGAAATTTTTTTTTTTAAATTCAAAAAACCGTCACCATCTGCAATCCTTGTGTTTGACGTGTGTGTGTGTGTGTGTGTGTGTGTGTGTGAGAAAACTGCCATCAGTTGTCCAAAAAACAACTTGGCCATTGGAACAACAACAGCAACTGGTTTTTCTTTTTCATTTTATTTTTAAATGAAAATTTGTTTTGTTTAATTCTTTTTACGAAAAAAAAAATTCAATTTGCCCACCATGTCTTTACGTCGTGTTACGTGCCAACATTATCAGTATCGTTTTTTTTCTTTATTTTTTTAATCTTCAACATAATCCACGTCTTTTGATTGTAATGCAAATTCTTACATAATACACACACACGCCCACACACACACCCTACGACCAGGTAGGTTTAATTATTAATTTCATTTTTTTTTCGTCTCTCATGGCTGCATATTTTGTTTCAAATTTTGAATGTAATGAATAAAATTCAATTTTCAATTTTTAATTTTTTTTTTGCTCGTCTTGTCTTGAATTTTATGTACACATAACAACGACAGAATATTCTGTATATTTTATGGACCAAAAAAAAAAAAAAAAATTCATTGAATGAAAATAATAATAAAAAAATTGAGAATATTCAGGAATGAATATTCATTTTATATGTTTACTATTTGCTTTCTTGTTCATAATTCAATGTTTGTTTTTTTTTAAATTTCAAATTGAAAAATTAAATAAATGAAAAATAAGATTCAAATCAAGCAAAACAAGCTTTGCAACCCATTGAATGAAAATAATTTTTGGGAATGAATATTCATTTTATATGTATTTGCTTTCTTGTTCATAATTCAAAAATTGCCAAAATAATAACAAGCAAAACGAAATGTAGAAAAATCAAAAAAATAACAAAAAATTCTATTCTATTAAGATTTAATCAAGATAATAGATTTTTATCTATGGAAAAAAATCGATCCAATGTATGGATATTCAACTTTGAATAATGGTTTTCGCTTTCTCTCTCCATCTTGCTCTCAAAAAAAAATCTTGAGTTTTTTTCCACCAACACAACAAACAAAATGAATGAATTTGATTTTGTATGTAACACCATATATATATATACTGATGATGATTTGAAATTGGAACGACTTTTACAAGCAAGAATATTACTATAGAAAATGAAATGAGAAAAAAATTTCGATTAACCAAAAAAAAAGACCTTAAGATTTATATATACGAAAGTCGTGAATAAAATGGTGATTTTTATCCAGAAATTTAGTGTCCGATCCCAATCATGAATGATGTTTGAAATGATGATGATGTATGAATGATGATGATGATGAATGGAGAATTTTGATCAGTTGAAGAAAAGAGAGAGAGAGAGAGAGAGAGAGAGAGAGAGAGAGAGAGAGAGAGAGAGAGAGAGAGCATGATTATTTGTCGTAACCAACAAAACCAAAAAAAAAAAAAAAATATTGAATCCGAAATGAAATGAATAGTAGTAGTAGTAGTTGGGAAAAAAACCAGAAATTTCCGGAAAATAAAATTTAACAATAATTTCAATTTCGATTCTTGTTGTCGATCTTTACCACACACACACACACTTTTTTTTTTTATCTTCAGGGCCTGTGTGTGTGTGTATGTCTGTTATCATCTTCAATGTTCAACCGACCGTATGATGATAATATCTTGTTTCATATTATATGTGGCAATTTATTTTTTTTTTCATTTTGGATTTTTTTTTTACAAATGTTGAATCAAATGTCGAATCTTCATTTTGGTTGACATTTGTCGGTTGTTTCTCACTCTCGGTCTCTCTGATTTCATTCCATTTTTATTTTTGGAATTTTTCTTCTTCTTCTTGGCATTTGGAAAACTTCTCATGGATTCCAGCGATTGAAACTTTTTTTTTGTTGCAGTGTTGATTTTCTCGTCAAAGGTTGGAGTGAAAAGTTTTTTTTTTGCTAGCGAAAAAAAATGTCCAAGAAGATGACAATTATATTTATGGAATTAAAATACTAATAAAAATAAAGGAAATGAAGAAAAAAAAAATTCTCGACATTCTCTGGAAATCATTCGAATTTTTTTGTTGTTGTTGTTGTTGATCATAATCATAACGTTATCTGTGAACAATAAGATGTTTGTCTTTCCATCTATATGACAGAATCGAATATACTGCCATAAATATGAGATGCATCATCATCGATGAATGATCATGATGATGATGATAACCAGAATTCTTTGGAATTTTCAAATGACAAAAAAAATGAAATTTCTTTTGTCCATCACATCCTATCATCATCATCATCATTATAATTGTGGCCAACATCATCAATCGATGTGTATTTTCTAAACAATGAATGAAAGAGAAAAACAAAAAACAAAAAACGATTCGATAAATGATCGATCAAAGTTTTGGTTTCGATCATTTTTTTCTTTTCATTTCTTGTTCATTCAATGTGCAATTTGAATTTGACAAAAAAAATTTTTTTTCTGTTTTTCCCCTTCGAAAAAAAAAAATTTTCGAATTCATTAACTTTAACTTGATTGACAACAACAACAGCAACAACTATTACAACGTATGACCAATTTTTTTTGGCCGTCATCACACATAAGTCATATCGAACACTCATCATCGTCATCATGAATATCGTAAACAAAACAAAAAAATGAAAAAGAAACAAATCTTTTCACCAAATTGAATGAATGAAAAAAATTTGTCTACCATATGTATATTTGTCTGTGTGTGTGTAGTTGATTGAAATGTGACAAAACAACAACAACAACAACAACAACAACAACAACAACAAAAAAAAAAAGAAAAAAAAATATTTTCGAATGCATCACCATCTCTCTTTGTTTGTGTGTTTTAAAAAAAAAAAAAAGAAAGAAATGAAATGAATTAATGAATGAAAAAGAAAAAAAGATTCTCATTCACTATACAAAGCATCGGAAAATTTTTCTACTTTCTGTCATTTGTTTTTGTATTTTTCTTTCTCGCCATTTTCACATTTATCAACAAAGAAGAAGAAGAAGAAGAAAAAGAATTGAATGAATAAACGAACGGCCGGAACCAAACCATTGATGATGGCATACAGAATAGCATACGATAGCATTGAACGTTGAACATTTTTTTTTTGTTCAGGGTAAAAATAATTTTTTTCCCTTCATAGAAAATCTTTTCATTCATTTCATTTCTTTATTTATTATTTTTTTTTTTTTGAAAGTTAACAGAAAAATTTACCTTTGTCAAGGTCAAAGTCAAAGAAAAAAAAAATTTTTACAATAAAAAACAACACTAAACGATCATCATCATCATCATTATCATCATCCATTGCCATTTTGGTTTGTCTCTCTTGTATACAAATAAAAGAGACCTCGAAAACCTAAAAATTTTCTTTTTCCATCATGGTGAATTATTATTATCGTTATTTTTGTTGTTGTTGTTGTTTGTTGTTTGTTGTTGTTTGTTTGTTTTTCTTTCATCTAAATGAAATGACGGTATTCACGTCATTCGATCCTCATAAACTTTTTAATTGATAATATTTTTTTTTCTCTCTTTCAAACAGATAGACATATCACACACACACCGAAAAAGAGACGAGAATCATAATTATGAAAAAAAAACCAGGCAATAATGAACAACTACTAAATCAACCACCAAAATGAGCTGTTTTTTTTTTTTTTTTTTGCTATTGCAATAATCATTCCCGAATTATCATTGGATACATAGAAGACCACATCAACATTTGTGTGTGAAAAAGGGAAAAAAAAACACATTTTTTCTTGTTTGATTGTTACATTCATCACACACACACACGGAGAGAGCGAAAAATGAACATTCGTGTGTCTAATTTTTTTTGCCATCATCATTATCATCACACAACTAACTAAAGATTCTTGACTTTGATTCAAAAAGCGGCTGTTTTTTTTTGTTGCTCTCTTAGAAAACGAAACAAAAAGATTCGGATAATTTTCACTTTGAAATTATTGCTGGATATGATCCAAGAATTGTATCAAATATTATTATCATCATCATCATCATCATCATCACCGTCAACAACGACAACGACAACGACGACATTATCAAAATAGAGATATGTATGTATGGTGGTCTAAATGAAAATGAGAATACGTCATATAAAGAATGAAAAATTCTATCGATTCTTTTGGTTTCTTTATTCTGTGTTTATGTGTGTGTGTGTGAGTGCGCGTTTTTTTTCTCGTCATAATGAAAATATTTTCACGAAAACTATAACCAACCAAACGTTGAATACAACCTTAAGCAACGAACCGAATCTGAATTTGTTGTTTGTTTTTTTTGTTATTTACATTTTCTATATACACACATGAACATGAATTATTGTGAAAAAAGAAATCAGAAAAAAAATTCAACAACAAGAATGATGAAAAGAATGGAAAAAAATTATTCATATTCAGGATTATAATCATCAACTTTTAACATAATAATGATCATCATTATCATATCAAACAAAAATACGTTTCTCAGTGTTTGTGTGTGTGTGTGTGTATGTTTGGTTTGTTTGGTTTGTTTGAAATGAAAATCAGTGATTCTTTTTCAATAATCAACCAACATATGTGATATATGACAACGATATATCAAGAATTCGAAAAAAATTTGGATCAGTGAGCAGCTCTCTCTCTCTCTCTATTTTGATTGGGAAAAAAAATAATTATCACAAATCATCATTATCAAATGACAATTTTTTTTTCGGAGATCAAAATTTATCACAACAAGAAAAAGGCGTAAATTTTTTTTTCAATGAAAATGTTTATGATGATGATGATGATGATGATAAATAATGATAGGTCATCATCATTATCATTGATGATTGTTCAACAACAGTGTTTGTTTGTTTTGTAAATATTCTATCTATCTATTATATTATTATATGTACCAAATATATGTTTGTAATAATGACGATTGTCATTTCGGACATTGTCAATCAAACATTATTGTTGTCAATGTTCAACAACAACAACAACAACAACAACAATGACGACGACAACAGTAGTGGAAATGAAAATCTGATCAAATCATCATCAACATCAGTGATTTCATCAGCTAATCAACATATATTGACAAAGCCTTTATTTTATTTACTACAAACTAAACATGATGATGATTTATCTATTGTCGAAACAAAATATCAGAATGTTAATTTATCATCATCAACAACACGACGACGACGACGACAATCGATACGAATTTAATATATTTTGCCAATTCAAGTGATCTTGAATTAGCCATTGGTCCGGCACGTGATTCAAGTTATATAGTCATTTTAATGACCATTGTCTATGTAGCCATATTAATTACCGGTGTATCTGGTAATCTAATCACATGTTTAGTAATTGCACGTAAACGTTATTTACATACAGCAACCAATTATTATCTATTCAGTTTAGCTGTATCTGATCTATTATTATTGATACTTGGTCTACCTCATGATCTAGTATTATTATGGCAAAAATATCCATATGTTTTTAGTGAATGGTTTTGCGTGATTCGTGGTCTATCATCAGAATTGTCAACAAATGCATCAATATTAACGATTATTGCATTTACAATTGAAAGATATATTGCCATTTGTCATCCATTACGTTCACATACGACCTTAAAATTGGCCCGTGTTGTTAAAACGATTATTATTATCTGGATTATAAGTGCTCTCTGTGCATTACCTATTGCTTATGAATTTGGTATCGTACAAGTAAGTGAAATAAATTATTTCATCATGATTCTATTATCATTTTTCGTATATTTGATTTTATCTGATGAATTTCATAGGAATACAATTAGGAAAAAAAAATTCAAGTAATCTTATCTCATATTATTATTATCAAGAATTTTATAAAATCATTGGAAACGAGAAAAAATTCTTGTTTTTCGATTATTACATTTATAGAATAATAATGATAATAATAATAACAAAAATCATCGATTCGAAGAAAATATAAATGATGTAATCGATCATTGAAATTTCTTTCCATTGTTTATGATTATTGTTGTTTATCGTTGTTGTGTGTGTGTGTGTGTGTGTGCATTTTGCCGAGATTTGCCAAACTCGAAAACTCGAATAATAACAGAAACAAAAACAACATTTCAAAGTAGGAATCAATACAAAATAGATCCATCATTTCATATGTTTTTCATATTTAGTTTTTCTTTATGATGATTCTATCGACAACAACAATAACAAAACAGACTTGAAAAAAAATAGAAATCTTTGGCCCATGACGATGATGATGATGATGATGATTGTTATGGGGTTTCATTGAAATGAATGAAAATTTTTGATTTTTTTTTATATTTAGAAAAAACATTATAATAATAACACTTTAAGTGCCCAACATTTTGAGAATAGTGAAGTGAAAATAGTTTAGAATAACACTGGCACTTGAAGTGTTAATCACAAAAATTATTTTGAAATAAATCAACATTAGGAAAAGAATTTATTGATTTAATTCCATATTCTATACATACGAGGGCAATCATTTGGTTGTTTGTTCATTTTTTTGTTGTTGTTGTTGCTTGAATCTACTGAATTTTTCTAATTGTCTTGTCTAGTTGTTGTTGTTGTTGTTATGTTCAATTAAACATTTGTTTTTTTTATTCTCTAGGTTCTTGATGATGAAGGCCATCCATTTCCTGGTAGTGATCAATGTGCAGTGAAACATTTATTATATGAATATATATTTGAAATTGCAACGATGGTATTTTTTGTTATACCAATCTGTATAATAACCATATTGTATATATTGATTGGATTAAAATTACGAGCTTCATCTAAAAGTGTTCATCATACTGTTAATAATAATTATCAAAATCAAACAAAATCAATTAATGATCATAATAATGATGCTGATGATGAATATAAAAATAGATTAAAAGATAATATAAATAATAAAAGTTTCATACATGGTCGATGGCGATCATCCGGTAAATGTAATAGTAATAGTAGTAGTGGTGGTGGTGGTGGTGGCGGTGCCGGTGGCGGTGTTAATCGAATCAAATTTTCATTTCATACTCCTAATCATAATCATAATCATCATCATCATCATCATCAATCACAAAATACAAATGATAAAATACTAACGATATCCGGTTCCGGTAATTTAAACCCTAGTTTGGGTGTTGTCACTACTAGTGGTGGTGGTGGTGCATCATCATTATCATCAACACAATCATCACCATTACATACTACAAATGGAAATAATAGTAAAAATGACCATCAACAACAACAACAACATTCACCATTACCACCACCATCGCCATCATCACCATCAACAACAACAACACATGCATTACAACATTCAATGTCAATGTCTGTTCGAAGACAGAATGCATCAAGACGAGCTGTCATTAAAATGCTTGGTAAGTGTTTGATGTTTGTTTTTATTAATTTAAATGATTGATGGTGATTTAAATTCCATTCGGAATTGAAAATTCACATTTTTTTTTATTATTCATTATTCAAAAATAAAATCCACTAATCAGATGTAATTTTTTTTTCTTTTCATTTATTCTATTTCAACGTTTCTATGGATCGAATTCACATTGGACGATGATCATCATTCTTTTATTCATTTTTTAATGGTATATTTATAATCATTATTCTTGTTTGTGTGTGTATTGTATCGGAATTTTGGAATTAAATTTAATGATGATGATGATCAAACCACACACACACACCGAAAAAAATAACGATCATATGTGTATGTGTGTGTGTCCACAAATGATACGTTTCTATATGCTGTTATTATATCCGAACGAAAAAACGACAACAACAACAACAACAATTTTTCCGGTTAAATTATAATGGACAAAATCAACACTAACATAATGATCATGATATATTGGCGATACACACAAAAAAAACAAACCACTAAAACCAATTTAATAATAATGCTGTGGTCATTTATATATTTAAAAAAAAACAGTGGCCGTTGTAATTGCATTCTTTTTTTGTTATTCACCATTTCATGCACAACGTGTAATGGCCATTGTGATGGCACGTAATAATGTTAAAGATGAATATTTTATTCAAATATTCACCCTATTAACACATATATCCGGTATAACATATTATCTATCATCAACAATTAATCCAATATTATATCAGATAATGTCAAAAAAATTCCAATTGGCATTAAGAGAAACATTACCATGCTGTTTCTATATATTTTGTTTTTTTCGCCATCAACGTCATCATCATCATCATCAACAACAACAACAACAACAACGAAATACGACTGGACAATCAAGTACAATGGCAAGTGGATTTCGTAGTTCAAAATATCATCATTCACAACAACATCAACATCAACAGCAGCAGCAGCAAGACAAAGATCATCAACAACAATTTTATCCACGTTCAGAAACATTACAATCATTGGATGTTAATTTCAATGTAAATAAATCATTAAAATATCAAAAACAACAACAGCAGCAGCAGCAGCTACAACAAAATTCTGAACAACAATCATCAACAACAACATTCAATCCGGATGATATGGATTTATCAAACTATTGTAATTCATCATCAATAATTTCTAATCGTTAATTTAAAATGTTTGTGTTTTATCCAACATTGATTCATGAATAATTTCCACAATGGCAGCCGTTTTATTCGCTGTTGTTGTTGTGGATTTTGGAATCCTATCGGAATATATCGTCAGTCATCATCAATGAAGATCAATACTCTGATTCGTCAAGTCTTTTTGTCGTTATTGTTTGGCTGTTTGAAGTTGACAAATAATTCTGCTTGTTGGTCAAGTTTTTGCTACTTGTGATCCGTTTTTTTTGTGTTGTCACCATTATTTTTCTTGTTATTGTTTGACTTCATTTTTTTATTGTTGTTCATCAATTTGAAAGCAAAATTCTGTTAAAAAAATCTGATCACGAATATAACAAAGACTACGGATAACCAAACAACAACAACAACCATTTTCAATAAAGCAACAACAAACTAGAATTTAAGGTGACGAATAAAAAAAAATATTGGAAAAATATCAGATTTCTTTCTTCGAGAATGACCAACAAAACAAAACAAAACAAAAAACAGTCAAACAAACACCGAATATAGTGGAATCAAATTGCTGATACTTGATCATCATTATATTTAGATGCTTGTTTCATAAATACCATATACGTGGAAAAAAACGGAAGTGGAATCCTATACCGAAACGAAATAGCGAAAGAAAAATTCACAAATATCGTTCCATATATATATATTTATTATCGTTCAACATTTATTTTTCTATTATTATTTTCTGTTGTTGTTGTTGTTGTTGTTGTTATTGTTGTTGTCACAATTTGATTTATAATGACAACAAACCATCATTCATTCATTCAATTCCAATGTAAAAAAGACACTTGAATCATTTTGTTGTTGTTGTTGCTACTGTTTTCATTGTCATATAAATGTTATTTTGAGAATTTTTTCTGAAAATTGTAATCCGGAAAATAACAACAACAACAACAAATTCTTCCGGTTTTGTTTTCAGTGAACAAGAAAAAAAATGAAAAATGAAAAATTTTTATTTATTACACAACAATTTTTTGTTGGCATGTGATGCTGATGAACTTGAAATTAAATCTTTTGAACGAAAAAAAGAAAATTCTTTGTGAATCATTTTAAAATCGGTCATTATACAAGATTTGTTGATACCTCGTACCAATAATAAATAATCTCCAACCTCGCTCACCTCACCTCTTGTTTTCCGGAATAGTGATTGATTTTGTATCGCTACACCGGAACACACTGCTGCTATAAGTTTCTGGATCATCGTTCACATTTTTTTTTCTTTTGGCAATTGCATGTAATTTATGTGGAAAGCAAAATCTCTTTGACGGTTAGTCGGTAGTTCGGATGAACAAAAAATTAATTTAAACTCAACCCAACAGCATCATCATCATCATCATCATTGCATCGATGGACATTTCTTGTTTCATAGGTCATTTTTTTTTTTTGGTATTGATTGCTTTTTTTTCTAGTGAAAAAGTAAATAAATAAATCGACAACATTGAAAATAATTTTTCCCGGTAATCCAACATATGACCTAAATTTTTTTTTCTATTTCTTTCTTTCTTGAATTTTGAAATATTGTGGATGGGGTCAAACAAAAAAAATCAAATTATTATCATTGTCGTTCATGTAAATGTTAATTACATTCTCATACACTTCATCAAATAAATGTCAATTGATTTTCCATCCAGATTATAACAGAATATATATATCCAACGACAACAAATCTTTCAACATTCTGGTTATAATATTTACAATGTCATTTATTCATTGAACGAATCATTTCCTTGTCGCTGTCGTTGTTGTTGTTTGTTTGATATGTTTATCAGCCATACACACACACAACACACATGGATGCACCAATAAAACCCGGAAGCATATAGAATATCACTGCTTGATATTTGATTAATTAATGATGATGATGATGATGATGATGACAAATTTTTTCTAAAAACATATGAACGATCATGAAATGACATCATCATCATCGTTATCTGAAATTTCTTGTTTTCGAATTTTTCTACATCCCTATGGACCAATCTATTTTTTTCTGTTTCTTTTTGCAGTGTTTGTGTATTTGATTCAAAGTTTCAAAAAAATTTTTTCTTTTTTCTTTCTCACTTTCAACACGAAATTTATATTCGAAACAAAAAAGTTTCATCATGGCCAGTATAGATGGCGGCCATACATACAACACATATGACTATTTGTCAATTCTTTGGCCATTGCTGCGGCACAGAATCCATCCATCCATCCATCCATCCAGCATTTATTTATTTTTTCAATTTAATTCTGATGGCCATATTTTTTTTGTTGTTGTTGTTGTTGTCTGATCATTCATTCGATTTTATTTGTGTCAAGTAAGTCATATTTTTTTTATGTTCTCATTCGATTGAATCATAATTCTGTTTCATTTCATTTCATTTCATTCCATTTTCTTTTCATTAATTTTTTCATTCTTTCATTCATTGAATGTTGAGATTGATGTCCAATGTCACACTCATTTTGTCCATTTCTTTTGTGTTTAGATGTGTAGTTAATTTAAATTACAAACATACGCATGATGATGATGATGATGATGATGATAAAATATGGGCCCGGCAATGAATATAATGATTATTTTCATTGTTTTTTTTTTCTTTGGTTCCAATATATGGAATTTGCGACGAATCATTTTGGATTCTATTTTTGGAATCACTTTTACTAATTTTGTCAATTTGTCTTTTTTTTTTTTTTTTTTTTGTTTTTTCCAATATGCTAAACGAATTTGTTTTGTTTTTTTTTCTTGTTCCATTCTTAAAACGTTAAACATTTGTAGAATTTATGTTTTCATCGTTGGCTCTCATTGTATTCAATCACATCATCATCATCATCATCAGTCTTTTTTAAGACAGAAAAAAATCCGAAAGTCAAAGAAAAAATTTTTTTCTTTTGTCAGTCCACAAATCCATTGAATCTTTTTTTTCATTTTTGTTTCATTTTTTGTTTTCATGTGTTCACTCAATCCGTTATAAAAAAAAGAAAAAAGAAAATATTTGAAATTCGCTGCTACGATAAGAACGGTTGGGGATATTTCGATTTTTTTTTTTTTCTAGTTTAAGCTTCTATAGATGACGACAGAAAAAAAATCGAATCATTTTTTTTTTAGTTTGGCAAATTTTTCTTCGTCATTCTCATCTGATCTGCTGCTGCTGAGGCTACTGCTTAAAAGGCCAAACGAATGAGAGAAAAAAAACCTTTTGGATTCATTAATAAGTCTTTGATTTTTTGGATTTTTTTTTTGGTTGTTGAAAATCACTTTTTTTCATTTTCTAAAATTTTTTTTCTTTTTGTTCTAATCGATCTTCAATACAACAACACAATAATGATCGTATATGAGCAATTTTTGACTTTAATTTTTTTTTCACTTCTTTTTACGCCCAATTCACAAATATAAATCTTTTTTTTCTCTCATCTTTCGCCGCCTGTATATCGACAGCAGCATCTGCACTGTACGCCAACCAAAACGATTCGTCTTGGATCGTGAATCATGATCCATTGACTTCCAAGTGATGTTGATGATGGTGATGAACTGAACACACACACACACACACACACGATTGAGTATCACGAACCATAGTTAAAGTTATTTCAATACAGTATCAATATTATGGGCGTTTCGGTATTTGTTTGTTTTTCCTTTTGTTTTCCATAAACACCATTATCATCTATCTGCCAAATTCTGAACCTTTTTTTTTATTTTTGACGATTATTCATTATGATTTGTATTGTATCGACGTGTGTGTATGTGTATGTATGTGTGTGTGATGAAACCAAGATGTTTGAAATGGCGAAAAAAAAATATTCTATAATCGAAATAGAAATAGAAATTGAATTAAATTCTATAGTCGGATGTAGTCAGTTTTATTTTTCTGGTCAAACGAAACAAAAGAAAAAAAAACAGAATTCACAGAATAACGTGAGAATCATATTAAATAATAATGATGATGATGATGATGACGTTGAAAGGTTTTTTTTTATAGCCATTGTATATAATGGTCGTTTCCGGTTGAAATAATATCCACCATTATTGTTTGTTGTTTGGTTATTATTTTACAATGAAAATGAATGGTATAAGGTGTTTATTTATTTATTTATTTTTTTTTGCATAAGATTTTCCATTTTCGATGATGAATTTTCAGTATTTATAATTCCTGAAATTTTTTTTTTTTTTTTTTTTGGTTCCGTTTCTGTTTTTTTTTTGTGTGGTTTTATTCGGTTTTTGCCATGTCGTGTGCGTGCGTTTGTGTTAAGATGTTGATGATGATGATGATGAATTATCCATTGTGTGTGCAGTGGAATGTCAAGATTAAATTTTTTTTTTATTCGAATGTTTACAGAACAACAACGACGACGACGACAACAGATTTATATTCAAATATATATCACTCATATGGTAATAATTTTCTTTTTCTCGGTTCAATTGATTCTATTTATAAACATCTTGATGACAATTATTCTATTTTTTTAAATTGCCTTTTTTTTGCCATTCATCGACTTGGAAACACTGCTAGTTGCTAGCTAATTTTGTTCATTTTTTTTTTTTGAAATTAGCTCTCTACTATGTGTTTATTATTCTGTTCGGTTTGGTTTTTTCTCTTGAATTCTTCATGCCTGAAGAAATTGTTCCAAATTTTGATGGTTCATATCTCGGTATCACGGTAGCTGGATTTCATTATTTCCATTCCAGTTAATTTTGAGTTTGTTTTTTTTTGTTCATTCTCTCCCCCATTGCAATAATAATAATGATGATGACTATGATGACAATATATAAATGTGAAAATAAAAATAAGGGTAGTAGCAACTTGATACCAAAAAAAAAAAAGAGAAAAAAGAAATATTCGTTTCAAATATAGGCCAATGACTTTGATTCTTGTTGTTGTTGTTGTTGACAATGACTTTGAATTGAATGAATTAAATAGAAAGTTTACTTTAGATAAGGAATGGAAAAAAAATTCCAAAATTTGAAGTTTTACACTCATTCACACACATACACAGAGAGAGTTTGTATGTAAGTTGGCATTTGTATGATAGCCACCACTGTCATTTATCATTGGAATATATAAATTTTTCTTGTGTGTGTGTGTAAGAAAAAAAAACAGTCAGTGGAAATTAAAAAAAAACAGCAACAACAACAACAACAAGAAAAATATTTATTCGGTTCTTGACTTTTGACTTTATTTTTTATTTATTTTGTTAAAATATTCTGTTTGTGTTTACATATCGTTGTATAGTATGCAAAAATATTTCATCTACAACTTAAATTCTGGCCAAACATGAAAGATCACGCGAATGAACACACACACCGGTGATGATATATCCCCACAGCAAAGACAAGCTTTTAGATGCAATAACCACCAACCCACATCCTAACACCCCAAACACATACACACACACACACACACACATTATGTCGAAAACTTTCCATGGCTAATTTTCTGGGATTTATGGATTTTTTTTTTCTTTGCTTATTTACTTCTGGATTCTTTGATTTTATGGTAGATCGTATTACACACTTGCACACACACACACACACACAGACAGACAAATCATGAGTAAAATTTTCGATAATATTGAACCACCACCATCTGATTCTTTTGGATTCTTGTTTCAACTATCATTTTATTTATATATATATATTTTTTTTTACTGACCATAACGTTTTATTTTCAGAGCATTTTATTTCATGTTTTGTTTTGCTT